ATTGAGATCCCTAGAATACCAGAGCCGGCATTAAAGATGTAATCCATAATTCAAGTCAGTATTTCACTTCTATTCATGGCTGATGCACTCCACCTACAGAGACAAAATGCAGTTGCAAGAATAACACGCCCTATTGGACCAAGTATTAAAGCTCCTGCATCATCGATTCCATATATCTCACGGTGGCGAAGCTTAAACGTGCCAACAACGTAGGCAGACCATGTGGTGATAACAGCAACGGCACATAGAACAATCACACCGGGCACCATGCCTAGGGTATCGAAAGCAGTCGGTATAGACAGAACACCCAAGCCAATCTGGGTTTTCATCATAAGAATCACGGTGCCAAAGAAGCCCACCTAGCCATTGGTCAGTTGCGGCGACATTTTGTGTGCTTGTGAACTTTTGCAAAATGCGTACATTGCGATAATTAGGACCCTCCTCAGATATTTCTCCAAAGACGGCGTCGTGAGTTACCTCCTCCCAAACTTCCTCCTTCTTCGGAGCATGGTCTTGCATGTCATCAATGGGGTCATTGGGAATACTTCGTTCAGATAGACGATCCATATTGAAGGTGTGAGTGGAGAAATGGTCGTTCACATTTTGCCAGGCCAAGCTGAACGCTAAGCCTTCTTATACCCAGCATCTGGAGAAAATATGGGGATGTGGGCACGTCATTTTCGAATCTCGTTGGGGGGATTAGGAATTGGTCAAGCATCGTGTCTAATTCGTGCATCGTGAAGCCCCAAACCCCACGATATGGGGGCCGTCGTGTTTGCGGGGAGACTGTGGGTCGTTTTTTCGTCCTATCCGAACCCGACCCGTGGTTATCCTACGGTACCTTCTCCCTCTTCAAGAGCCGGTGAGTCTACTAGGTATTCTCTTAGTGTTCAGCGTTTTACCTCCCGTTTGGGTGTCTCTCTACGGCGGCTCGGGAGCCGAACCCGATAACCCATATCCGAGGGGCCAGACTTGTTGGACTTCATACAACTCCTACACCAAAACATTCGATAATTCATGATAATTCCACAATTATATGACGGCATTATCAGAGAGAGATTTTATGGTATAGCTGTAATTCTTAAGTTTTAATTTTTCCCAGCGCATATCCATCCTTCTTGGGGCCACAGACATGGGACTTCTTTCAAGCTAAGTCTATATTAATTAAATATACCCTGTCTAGTATACATGGCTTAGTGCTGCCGAAAGCGCAGTGCGCATACCACTCATTGCCCGGATAGTCTAGAAATCGTCGTTCTTTCAATTGAGGAGACTATGTGGAGCTTGGTATGAGAACATCAGCTCACTAACATAGAACAGGTTAAGCAAATGAGAGCATCGGGGATATTAAGAACCGACACATCAATATCCGCCACCCTCTGCGTGATTTTTCTAGAAACAAACGCTGCAGGCCGTTAAACTTGCTAGATTAGGCTATGAACATCGTCGGCTGTGGGCATCTGTGTATGCTCTCATCCTATCGGTACGAGACAAAGCATGTTCACGGGAAATAAGAACAATGTGCACCTTAGACATCGGCTGCAGTCCGAGAAGTCTAACTAGATTTTCGGGAGGCAAAATTAAGAATCTAAGATGTTCGTAACAGAGCTGGATCAATCCAATTGGATCAGCTGGGAGGTGGCAATCCAAAGGCTGGCCCTCCAGGCCCTCATTCCTGTCGGTGTCATCTAGAATAGCAAGATCTTCGAGATCTTCATGGCTAGCAGCATCTCCACAGCTGCTAGTATCCTCAAGGGGAACCTTCCCCCAAGTGAATTAGAAAGCCCAGAAGCCTAATGCCGTCATAATTCGCGTTGGCGCCATCGGTCGCCAATTTGTTAAGGAGGATATTGCCGAGATCGTGACCTGAGCCCATATCGATGTCCCCTACATCACCGGCATTGTTGGTGAAGAGGCCAAACGTATCGTCAAGGCCATCAAGCTTGTCTCTCTCTAACTGTTAGGGCGTTCTCCGGTCGTCCCTTGGAAACCCAAGAACAGAGGGTAGCGTTTCCCTCGAGCCCAGGAGAGCCTAACATGCGGTCGGAAGGGTACCTCCGAGAGAATGTGTATATGATCTCCTCGGGGCTCTAAGCCTCGGAAGGCTCATTGCCGACTGGCATGCACCTACTCTTGATTTTGTGCATTTGCCCATCGACCCGACAAAACACATCGAGCCAACCAACCAACGCTTCCCAAATTCTTCGCTCGTTGCAATCTGGCTAGACTCCGTGCTCTGGGTATGCATTAGCATGAGGATATTCTAATTGACGATAGGTCAGTTCTCGCAGGGATTGCATCTTACTGGAGTTATGCGTCTTGATTTTTAGCGTGACGTGTACGTGTACAATGCTGCAAACTAAATCTGTGCTGCAGGAGTATCCAGTTTACCGCGGGAAATCGTAGGTTTCTCCTAGTCTTCCCGATCGCTTTTAATATGCAGAGATTAATATCTTTACCGGGGCTATGCCTATAATCATCTTAGCTGTTTTCTAGCCTTCCTTCTTTTCTTCTCTTTGTATTTCCATTTTCTTAATTTTGTTTTTACTTTCTTTATAATAATTCTATTTCAACTCGCTTCTCTTAGTTCTGTCGCATTTAGATCTCACGTGGAAAACTGTTTAATTTACTTAGTACAATTGTGGTAATCACAATGGGACGGCGATTTAAAAGTTATTGCAGAATAATTGCACAAGACCTGAAGTCTAGAAATTCATATCTGTTTGGTAGGACGTATTTACTGTGGTAAGAGTTATATAGTCTATTTCAATTAAAGATTTCGTGCATTGTAAGGAGCCATGAAAAATATATATACGTGGTTGCTATACACAATTTGAGACCAGTGTAGGAACAAGCTACCATTTCTCTTTCTAACCTCATCAATGCCATTTCAGACAGATACCAGACAGCTCCAGAATTACAAGTTGACAAGAGTATAGGGATGTTGTCAACCAGCAAATCGACTATAAATTACCCTCTCAAGATTTTCGACACTTGAGTGATTGAGGCTTCATTACCTATTTAGATATACTAACCTAGTATGGACTAGTGCCAAGGGCGCGGGAAGCAAAGAGTGCAAACGTTACTGCCTAACCTGTCAGGCACCAGATTGCAGAGAGATTCCATTCTCTGTATTTCCAATTCCTTTGGAGGACAGGATCCTGGGTTTTAACTCAACTAACACGCTAGACGTCTGACTTGTATATAATTAAGTGATTGGTGGTTGAAGCATATCAATGAAACAGGTTGCGAGAATTCACGTTACCAACCAAGCTCCTGAGTTCTTAAATGAGGTGCTCTTTCGCCCTTGATTAATTGCCATTGAACTCAACAGGCTTCGATTAACCCATTCACGGGTGTGTATCCCATGAAACACGACTATGTTGATCCCCGAGTTGAATTCTAAGAGCAAACTGGATATGCCCGGCAAGATCTATTAGGCAGCACCAATCATGGCAGCGATTCGCATGCGAACAGGTGAATGGACTTACACATTTGTCGACATCAAGGACAATACGCTCGGGGATATTGAGACTCTTTGCCCTCTGGATAATGGAGTTCAATTTAGCATCTTGAAGTGTACGCTTGGAGCGTTGGAACGACTTCCATTAAAACTGCTATATATGATCCTTTTCAATCTTGACATACTGTCACTGACAACCTTTCGGCGCGTCAATGGACGAGCTAGGTGGACAGCCGACTCAATACCTCACTATCTAAGATAATCACTCATTCCCCAGACTTAATTCGTGGATATCTCAGCGTTGGTACTGGAAGCTTGTACTCATGCCGAGAGCTTTATGAGACGCTATGTACAGCCGAATGCGAGAGCTGTGGTGACTTCGGTGGATATTCTACATCATTACGTGCCGCCGTTTTCGTTGTCTGTGCTTTACAGAGTGGACAGACTACCTTCCCTGCTACGAAATGACGCTATGTAGAAGTTTGCGCTTGTCTCAAATGACCTAAAAGCATTGCCGTCTATGAAAAGAGTTCCGGGTCGATATTCACGACGTGGTATCAAATGCCACGCTCGATGTGTATTATTCGATCATGTCGTTGCCCGACAAGCTGATCTCATGCTACACGGATCCGTCCGAGAAATGGAGCAGCATGCCGTGAAGCTAATGCCAAATAAACTTGAGCAGTACGAACCACAGACTCCTATGCAGGCTAAGACATGATGCGAATTTGCGTCAGCCCAGATATAATGATGAGTTTGATGGGCATTCATCCAACCCAAAGACGTTCATGGAAGTGGTTCGTGCCCCATTATTTAGATTCTCGTACCGGATCCTGGAATGGAGCGTCCACTGTTTCGCTTGCAAGCGGGCATCACTACAATGGACCACTTCATTGGCGTCGGCAGTTCACTCTAGAAAGCGTCTGCGAACATCTTCAAGAATGCAGAGAAATCGTACAGTGAAAACACGTGAAAAGGACGAAGCGACAGCATTTGAACTAATGCTGGTTCAAGTAACAAGTCAGGTAGGTCATTGCTTGGGTTTACAGTAACATTCACCGAAACACCAAGAACTAAGCGCTTCAGGACACTTGACCGAGCATGGTCCGGTGATCGGGGTTTTAATGGAAGGTATCAGCCATGCACGGCATGCCGAGCTGTAGGATCTCGCGCCCTGCCGGCAGATACCGAATCGGCTGCGTGGCCTGAAAGTCCGGCACAGTGGAATAAATCGATTTAATTTCCTTGTACCGGATTTCAAGACAGTTATGATCGACTTTGGATCCGCCCGGGGATGTGACACAGATACGCTCCTTTGGGGGTTCGAAGATTTACCAAATTGCCTCCAAGACTCCTCGGGAAGAGGTGGTGGTCTTCTTTCACCTCAGCTGGCTTTACTATGGCCAGGGCATCACGTTACCCATAAACGCTTGGTATTTTAACTATTCTGCATAGCCTCCTGGCTACACATAATCTTACTAGGTCAACATTGCGCGCTACAAAAATCAAGGCATCCTTTACTCTCCACGCAGTATCCTCAGTAAGCATACAGCAAACCTTCATCCGCACCTGGAAGAACACCACTCCTGATCTTCCTATTCGTATTCTGCAGCCAGAACCTCAAAGCCCAGGCACTGGCTATGACAGCGAATCCAAAAGCCGCATTTGACGCCATAGCAATCAGATAACGAGGCCCATCACTCTTGGGATAGAGATACGCCGTATAGATATACGAGGCATTCGCAACAACATTAATGAAAGAGAGGGACGCCGCTTTCTTCTCAGGTGTCTGTCCCAACGTCGCCGAGACCCAACCCAGAATGATAGAATTAGCCGCATAGGCACCACTGGCGAACAAAAAGCAAGAGATATATCGGGCAGCTGTATTCAGCGTCACGCAGGATATGATGAATCCTATGACAGCAGCGCCCATGCAGCCGGTGATGTGCCAAGTACGCTCGTTATACCGACCGGAGGTGATGCCTATCACGATACTAGCGAGACATGTCGCGATGTATGGAGGGCAGGTAAGAACGAGAGTGATTGTTTTGTTGTAGCCCAGACTTCCGACGACGGTGGGGAAGAAGTTGTTGAAACTGCAGGAACTCAGGTGCATGTTTTGCATGAAGGCTAGTAGGAACAGCCGTGGGTCGCGGAAGGCTTGCTTCAAGCCCGCGACGGGGCCCTTGGATTCTTCGCTGTTGACTGTATCCCTGATGATGCGATCGTGGGCTAGTTGACGTTCTTCGGGAGTAAGCCAACGCGTGGTGAGCGGGTGATCGGGAAGCATGAAAAGGCCCAGTACGGCGATTCCGAATGTGACTACGCCTTCAATTATGAAGAGCCATTGCCAACCTGCTAAACCGTGGGTCTTGTCCAAGGTGGAGAAGGTTGCTGCGGCGATTAGACCTGCAACCCCTGTTGCGATGATATTACCCGAGTATAAGATTGAGATGCGAAGAGCGATTTCTTTACGGGTGTAGAAGACGGATAGGAGGAAGAGAGCACCGGGGTAGAAGGGGGCTTCGGTGATACCTAGGAAGAACCTGACCATCACTAGCCCGACATAGTTCTTGGTCAAAGCTGTGCAAGCCGAGACAAGTGCCCAGCTAGCCATGCAAACACTCATGTACAGGGACGGCCGGACCTTCTTGGAAGACATGAGCATGTTGGAGGGAATTTGCATCAACAAGTACCTGTTGTAGTCAGTAACCACCGTCATGCGAGATGTCGTACCTCCAACATACCCGACAAATAAAATCGAAATACACGTGTTGTACTGGGTACCGACGAGACCAAGATCCTTCTCGAGGTCATTTAGGCGAGCATTAGGAACGGCATTGCGGTCAATCTGAAGTTTATTCATGTCAGTGGCATAGAATAGAATTTACATGGACTCGACCGATGCGTACAAAATTCATAAAATACATCGCCCACAAGATGGGCATGATTCGCATGTCTAACTTTCGAACAAGACGACTCCCTAGGATTTGTCTTGGCCGTGGCACCGGAGTAATCTCCCTGTGCTTTCTCATCGGTCGGCTTGAGGGAGTGCACATCCTCAATATAGGTGCTATGCGCTTTTTTGCCTTGAGGAGGAGCGCTGTGGGGTTTCATATCTGGATTGAAACTAGATGTCATGGCTCAAGAACTTGATGACCGATACAAATATCGGTATGGATTGGCGTGACCTCGCAAACTAGGAACGATCTATATGTACACCGACCACATAGTCGCCCAGTGCTACGGGACCACAGGGTAGTATATGCAATATTTATACTCGTAACCGGCAGGAAGAATGCTGTCTAGCTCCAGACGATCTCGACTCACTAGTCGAACATCTGGAAAAACAAAGTTTAGAGAGATCCAGTCATTCGAAGCCAAGAAAACAAATTCAGCTCCACTTGGTGATTTAGCATCTTTCAACGAATAGCCATTCTCAGAATGAATGTGGGCGTAGCGATCAGCCATCCCCAGACTTCTTCCCCGCAGAATATCACGCGCCTGACCGGTCACAAAATCCGGGGTTGGTTGACAGAGCGAGGGTAGGCAAAACGGTTGGACTAAGGGATCTCGCGGCAAAACAAATAGGCTAAACATAAATTTAAGGGCTTGGTCACGGATGCAGGAGCTTAGCAGGGTCTTGCTTGCAGTCAGTTGGGACACATGGGAGTAGGATTGGTTCGTGGCGTACATCTGCCGCCACCTTCTTTGTTGTTTTCCCTCTTGGCGGAGGTCATGGATCCCCGTTGTCAATGAAAATTGCCTCCAGCTTTGTATCATGGGGTGAATGTTGTGCTAGAGTTCATGCGTAGTTGTTGGCCTTGAATGAGAGACCACCATGTCTGCGACGTACAAAATGGTCACTGCACTGCGTGGAACAGTAGCCTTTGTGTTCCTCTTCAACTTGTTGGCATATTGGACAGGGTCTTTTGGGGCTGTACCAATAAGACGTCCGTGCGCTGGATATTGTTATGCCCGTCTTCTAGTACAGATTCCCTAACGTATGAACTCATAGGTATCTCTACTTCGGGCGGGTATTAATGACTAGGGTAGAGTATCTCTCTAGCAATATCATCAGTGTCTATAGTACTTCTCATGTAGCAGTTCTCTTCGCCAATAAATACCTCGTAATGTGAGCCATGTAGTCTATCACAGGACACCTTTGTTGTTCTAGACGCTCTCAACAGGTTCATACCAGTTGACAGAGTCATAGCAGCTGGATTAACCATAATGAACAACGTAGCTGTAAAAGATATATCCAGGGTCATATATTCCACAAGACGAAGACATCACATAAATCTGAATCTACGATTCAGATTGCCCTAGGTTGCACCTATCTAGGTTCCCGCCGTTACAAGTAGCTCAGCATCCCACCGCTACAGATATCGTTTTCGAATGTGTAAATTGCGAGATAGAGCAAATCATCACCAGTAACTCCCCCACGTCCTCAAAATTTTTTTCCATGGGTTGTTAATGCCGAATAGATATACCCTTACGACATCAAAAGATCGAGAACCAGACCCAAAGTGGAGACTGCCCCAGACTTGTCCTAGAGATATTGCCGGTAATCGGACAAGACATTCCCGCTCCGATTTCCGTCGGACATGAAATCGTCCGGCTGGGCGGAGAGACCCTGAACCAACAACCTATCCTATGGGATACTAGGTATATGACAATATGCATGTTAATTTGACTCGGTATGTCTCGACGGAAAGTTCGTGCTGGGGGTAGTCCAATACACGTTGAGGCTCGGTTATTGGGGGTATGGGGTTGCAAGGACACGGCGTACCCTCGCTAAAACTCAAGGTAAATCGTCGAACCGGCATATTTCTCGGCAAGGCAGGCAGGTTGGTAATAGAAGCAGGCCGCAGCGAGCCGTCTAATTGGTGGTTTCGCTTTGCTAATAGTGAAAGCCGATTAAATATCCGGTCATCGGGACATTGACCCAACAAGTGGACCTTCAATTGCTTCGTCCGGGAATTCCCGGCAATATTACTGGTCAGTGCCTTCACGGAGAAGTATACGGTATGATGCTACTTCGCTGATATCATGGATCTTGCGTAATGAATTGATGTATATATAGAATAGGGAGAAGCGTGTAGTGAGACATTTTGGACGCTGGGAATTAGTATTTATTGACTGTCAAGCCGCTTCTGTGATAGCTTGGTTACGATATACAACTATCGTCTTCGGATTCAATCTGGCCCATTGAACTACAACTACTTCATTATAGTACTACTACCTTCTCAGATAACAACATGGCTCCCTCCATCAGCGACTTCCCTCACAGTGTGGCCTCCACCCAGCCTTCTGTTTGTAAAGTCGGCATCAACGGCTTCGGCCGTATAGGTTGGTCACAGCTATCCCGAACCATGCCTATTCAACTTCCAATCATTAACCACAGATATCTTAATTAATAGGTCGGAACGTCTTACGTGCCTCCCTTACCAGAACAGACCTTCAGATTGTCGCCATCAACCACACATGTACGACCGTGCAAGACCTCATCTACCTCATCCGATATGATTCCTGTATGGGTAAACTATCGGACGACATCTCCATCCACGCCGTATCCGACACCCTGATCACCATCAACGGTCGCCAGATTGTCCTCACCTCTGAACGCGACCTCCAGAAGCTCAACTGGAGCGCCGTCGGGGTTGACTATGTTGTCGAATGCACCGGCAAGTTCACCAAACGTGACCTGGCCCTACAGCACGTTACCTACGGCCAGGCCAAGCGGGTCGTCATTTCCGCTCCCAGCTCCGACTCCCCAACATATGTGTATGGAGTCAACTCGGATGATTACACGGCTGATGAAGCCCGACGAGTGGTTTCGTGTGCCAGCTGTACCACAAACTGCGTTACTCCGGTGTTGAAGGTACTCCACGAGCAGTTCGGAATCGTCCAGGGACTCCTGACTACAGTTCATGCCGCAACCCAATCACAGCAGGTTCTGGATGGGTATAGCAAGAAGAACCGTCGGCTGGGTAAGTTTACTAGGCGGACCTGCATAAATCAGGCATTTGGTACGGGGATCAATGCTAATAGTCAACAGGCCGCAGTGTCTTCGATAACATCATCCCCACTACTACCGGTGCCGCAAAGGCCATTGCCACTGTCCTGCCTGAGCTGACAGGCAAGGTAACTGGAGTGTCCATCCGTGTGCCAGCGTAAGCCATATCTTCTCATTGGCCCCGTTCAAGGGGTAAAAGCTAACCTGATCAACGATAGTCCCAACGTCTCCATGATCGACTTGACCGTGACCACAGAGCAACCCACATCGTTAGCTGAGATAATGGCTGCATTCCGTCGCGCAGCCAAGTCCAATCTTGCAGGTGTCCTCTATGTCAGCGATGAGGAGCTTGTCAGTAGCGACTATAAGGGCAACCCAAACAGCGCAGTCGTGGACGCTGCTGCTTGCACAGAATTGAATCCTCAGGTTCGTCTTTACCCTTTATCCCTACTCATTCATACAGTTTTGAGCTGACAGCCGATGTAGTTCTTCAAGATCATGGCGTGGTATGATAACGAATGGGGATATTCGAACCGACTCTTGGATTTGACTGCACATGTGGCCATGCAGGAACAATAGTCGTTCAACGTATTGGTGGTATGGATAATGTGATGTTTGCTATGACCCTTAATTCTCTATTTATAGATATATAATCGATTGTTTTTATTGTTGAATTGGTGTTAGCGCTGTTTGCATTTCTACAGGCTTAACCTGCAGGTGCATTTCATATTGTCTAAAGGATGTTGCCGAGAACTGTAGCTACACTGAATATATATCAGAGCTCGATACTTTACTTCTGGTTTATAAGATAAAAGCTTAGAACTTACACTCTGCTGGTTTGTTCAGAATCAAGGTGGCCTTAGAGATAGGCATAGCGGCAGGTCAGACTGGCACAAAGTACCTTAGGTCTGATGTCCCTCGAGGAAGTCAAATTAGCTCTCATTATGCTACCTTAAGAATCCAATTCCCTGGTTAGTAGTATGTCATGATGAGCGAATTGTTCTTTCGTTGCCTGCAATCAGAGAGATCAAATCTGCTGCCTACCAACGGACCACAACTCCTTCGGCTGGCGACAACATCAAGGACTCTTTCCAGAACATCAAACAAAACCGACTCCCCAAAATGGATAGATTACCGAACGAGTTGATCTTTCTAGTTGGGAAATACATTAAAGACGATGTGTTCGCGAAACTAGCTCTGAGCCAGTGCTCCCGCAGACTTCAGTGGCTGTTTGACCCTCCTCTAGCTTATTCATATCTCTACATTTCCTCCATAGGAACACGTGAATTCGCACTCATTCGGCACCTGTGGTGTCGTCCTGACTTGGCACGTCTCGTCCAACATGCTTATTTGGGCTTCGCGTGGTGTTTCCGTCCGGATTCCCAGCCCATCACTGAGGCTTGCTACCCGCAGTGGAATTGGATGGTTGAACATATCCTTGATGATATATGTGAGTCTGAATATGAGAAAACTGCGTGGAATATGCAGCTACGACGATTTTGCGAAGAGGCCTGGCTGGGAGTGCTACTCACTCGCTTAAATAACCTGAAGAGCGTCACGCTGGCCTATGGGAATAATCAAGGGTTGATCAATAGTATCTTGGACAAAGCGGCCTACCACCGACAACCATTTAACAGGACCACTCCGTTCCAGCTACTGCTAAAGGTCACACTCAAAAGCCAATTCAGCTGGCTCCAATGTAATTTACCTTTTGCAATGGGCTTGTTTCATCTGCCAGCTATTCGCACGATCCAGGGCATCAAAAATATGGGACTCTCCTTCAGTTGGAATGAACCTCGGAATGTCGAATTTCTCAGGCCTGAAACACCGCCCGAGTTCAGTCACTGAAATTGTGTTGTCCCCAGCCTACAACTGCCGAGGCATGGGCGATTGGATCTCAGCGTGCAGCAGGCTCGAGCGTTTCCAGGTTGACATTGGCATAGTATCTGATACCCACACCTTTTATATCTTCGATCCTATCGCATTCCGCCAGTGTCTTCACCCATGCAAGAAAACCCTCCAAGTTCTTTCTCTCAAGTTTCACCGTTCATACCGGGAATTCCGTGCCTGGCAGAGAACTACGAAAGTATATCGTCATTTCCAACGTGATGATCTTCCATTCGGGTCATTCAGGGAGTTCATTGTTTTGGAACAGCTGTCCATGCGCCATACCAATCTCGTACGACTCCCAGATGCAAACATCAGGGATAGCCGTGACGCTGCTCCGCGATCCTTCGTTGATATACTGCCCACGTCTCTCAAGTCGCTCGAGATCGCCGACATTCTGCACAGATATCTTCCCAATCTTATCTCCGAATTAGAGGTGTTAGTTAGACTGCACACCACTATCATGCCTCAATTTGAGCGTATCGTGCTTCATTTACAGGAGCAGGAAGGGGAACTGCCCAAGTCCCTGATCAACAAGCTTGAACGGGTGTGTGAGTGCATGGACGTTTGCTTGACGATCATAAGACGGCCCATCCAGTTCTCGGATTGAGACGACAGAGCCAGCCCACCGTTGGTGGAGCTTTGCTGGAGCAGGAACTGAGGTATAGACGAGACAGAAATAAGCGTGGTTGGATAGCTGCAGATCACTGATGAGGCATCCCGCGACCATTTCACTTTTTCGGAACATTTCATCTGGGTCTCTTGCTTGTATTAGTATACCACAGTCATGATCTGGAAATGACTGACTTGCTCAATTGCTATAGATTTCTTCCATTCAGACCCTGGTTTTATCGACGTCGTTAAAAATCCCGATGTCTCTGGCTACTCACCAGGTTTTCCTTTTTAATCTATTAAGTCATATGGGTCAGACTGATATGTAGACCCACGGTCCCGCCCTAGCCATCTGATCCGAGACCTACAGTTTACAATTAAGCCTACATTAATCCCAACTTTATATGACTCAGTAAACTTACCTTCTTCACAGTTAACATCCGACTAGGAACTTCTATCACGTAGATAAAATATGAAACCCACTTACCTTCAGCAACTCCAACTCCTACCCCGAAGAACCACATCCCACAATCCGCTGAATAAGCGGCCAGCATAGCTTGAACCACGACTATTAATATCATCCATAACCGGTACCTGCATTAGGCCCATTAGCCCCAGTATAAATACCCAGTAATATCTTGAAAATTTATATTCCTCTATATTTCCCCTTCACTCTTTACACCAAGCAAGAGTCTCTTCACCCCGCCATCCATCTCCAATTATGTCCTCATTCAGACGTCTCAATCACTTCATACCCCCCAGAGTCTTCACATTCTGCAAATACACCCTCATAACGGGCATAACCGGAGCAGCAACCTGGCAGCTATGGTCACGACACTGCTACTTCGAGCCCTTCGGTCCTGAAAATGACGCTTTGTTTCAGAGCAAGTATTTCCGGAGATTCAATCCGAATAATCATCCCTCGTTAGATGATTCGTGCGTACGGAAGGTTCCTATATCTGAGATAAGGCCTGAGTTGGTTGAGGACTTCTTTAATGGTGGATCAAAGCTTTTAGAAAGATTCTGTAGTGGTGTTTGGGGTGGATATGGTGAGTTTCTTTCTTTTCTTTTCATACCTAACCATGTACCCTCTGTGATTGATCATATAAATTGGAACCGGGGTATGTATGGTATGCAAGACTAATAGATGCGTATACGGTGGATAGGCTACGCGATCCAACGGAAGATCCTCACATTCCTATGCAGAAATAAAACCAACGAGTCCATGCTATGGAGTAAGGAGCAGTTGCTTGCTAGCTCTTATGATGAAGGTTCGTACAATCTCTCAATATAAAAGGTTATCATCTATCCCCACGCTTGGGATTTGCTAAACCAGAGAACAGGAACAATCGTAACAGATCACTTCATCGTCCTACAAAAATCACCCAGATCTATCGTTATGCGGGGTGGACTATCCCCGACAGAGGACCCAGATAAACCCCATGAAATGGATAATATTTCGGAAATAACTGTCGATATTGACACCGAGAAAGGAATGGCTAAGTTCCGATTGAAGAATGTCTTTTTCAATGGTGTGAAGCATACTACTGAGGCACTTTTCCCGCCGCCTGTGGTATGGCTGCATTTTCAGTATTGTAAGTTGCTGGTTGAGGCTGGGGTTGGCTATTGTATGGGGTAGGATGGGGAGATGGTAGTTACTATTGTCTCAGGTTGGTAGATTTTTGAGATTTGTTAGTTTTGGACGAAGTATTTGTGAGAGGGGCCTGGGACGTTGTACATTGTATACTATTATAAAGGATATTCTATATCTGTGGCCAATAATTGCGTACCACTCATACCTGTCGCCTCTTGTTGCACTTGGGAGATAGCGCATGCACCTAGCCTCGCCAGTTCGGTGGTGAAACCATCCAGAAATCTAAGGTGGATGACTTCGCCCAGTGTGAGCTTTCGGATGGGAATTTTGCGAATCAGATCAGGTACTTCGCGTAGTATATGAACGTGGTGGTGAGCTTCAGGACCAAGAGGGTTATGCAGGATATTGCGAAAGAGAGTCAGGATAGCAGTTATGGCGTAGAAGAGGACAACCCTTGTTTTTGAAAATAACAGTAGTTAGTTACGATCTTCTTGGTGGGGATATTGGGAGTACGGCGTCTTACCAGAAGCATTCCCCCTCCACTACTGGTAATACTGTCTGGAGATAGGACAGTGTTGACGTCCCAGCATTGATGGCCAGGCTGATACTAGTATTTATCCCACTAAGTCTACCCTCGGTGCAATCATCTGACAGTCTGCCTCTTTCACTCGCTTGGTGGATCATGGTAACGCAGTGATAGTACGCAAGTCGCAGCATTACTGCCTGCGTATTCAAGTTCGCACTAACCGGCATTTCTTGGGAAAATGACAAAGTTGGTCGGAAGTCAGGGTGTAAAGATACCCTCCACTGCTCCAGTGCCTCGTCAAGATTCCGAATACTTGACAAGATCTCCGAGTCGGATTTGCGTTGCGCACCGGCAGAGTAAAGAGCCTCGTATGCTTCGGACTTGATCTTTGAGAGTCGAAGATCCCAAGGGAAAAGAGGGAGAGTGTGGCTGTCCATTGACATGCTATCTCGTAGAATATTGGAGTCCTGTAGCCGCGCGTAGTCTGATGGGAGTGTCAAGTTGCAATAACTGTCGTTGATCGCGGGTGGTTGTCCGGTTCTTAAACAGATATCTTTGTCGAATGAATAGCACACCCAGAATAGATCGCGCAAATGATATTCCTCCATATCTTTGTCATAAGGATGCGAACAACCAGATGGATTAACACCGGACATTGTATTAGCGCCAAGTGTATATAGGAGGCGGGCGGCGATTGATACAGATACTGCTGCTGCCTGTAAATCTCCTAGGAAGTACTGGAATAGAATCTTGCATGTTGTTAGGATAGCTTGGGGCGGCAATAGTGCTAGGCAAGTCTGAGGGAAATAAACACGTACAAGCATTATGACCGCTTGGAGTCCATCAACTGTCATCTCTTGAGTGATCTGAACCATAAAGGTCTGCGCCACTGAGGCAAAGTACCCACAATCCATAGATTCCTGAAGGTTGTCCCCTATCTCAAAAAGATGCACCACAGCAAGAAATGCATAGACACATGACCTAGCACTGGCTGAGCCAAAAGAGCTACGTGGTCCGTACGCAAGATCTAGGGTCTTCTCAAAGAGTGACCTGCTGATCACAGGAAAGACAAGACTTTGAAAGGATGAGAAATACTGCTTGGCGTGGCCTTCCACCGAACATCGACTTGGAAGTTCATGAATGGAGCCAGAATTCAGGGTTTCCATGTAAAGTCGGCGCGTGTTGGCCCAAGGAAGATCAAGGGCCCATAGCTCCTCGAAGCGGACTTTTTCTCCTGTTCGGGATTCGATCCATCTCTGGCCTTCATCGGATAAAAGATGCATCCAATTAAAGCAGGTCATAGAGTCTAAGCCAAAGCTCGCAGAATGGGGGCGCCTTGACCCTGCACCTGAGCCTATGTTATTCATAGAGGCACCTGGATAGATGCGGGGCACATTAACGTCCATGAGAAAGACTTTGACATGAAGTATACTCACTGTGACTATTCACATCAGAGTTTCCAAGACTAGAATTTGTGTCTGAGGATTTCTTGGAGAACTGCAGATGTAGCTGGTCCCTAGTGATATCAACGGGGTCAGTGGGGAATCGTCAAAGCAGCCGATATGATTCGACAGCTGGCAAACAACCTCAGGGAATGAGATCTGGGGAGATGGAATGCTTAATTATACATAGCTAGTCATGTCGCAGAATCATATTATTGACATACCTTGCTTCCGTATGAGACTGAAGTCTGCTGTATGTGCAAGCAAGATTGTGGTGCTTGCACCAATTGCACTGTGGGAACTCCATATCGCATTGTATCTACAAGTATCATAATAATTATAACAAGATCAGCACAATAAATAACATTCCATCTAACGCTGGATAGACAAGAATATCACCTTTCTCTTGAAGCATGAATCACATGCCCTGCGCCTCTGTCTCTTGGGCGTTGAGGAGCCCCGCTTGGCCCTGCGTGACACAGTCTGCTTGGGCATCTTTAATTATCAGTTCGTAGAGTCGCCTTACAGGGGGTATGATCCATCCGCTAGTAGGATCAGAAATATTGAGGTCGGCAGTTTTCATTACTGTGCTTGTCTTTCGTTTGCTCTTTCGCCTCGTCATAGTAATGGACCAATCGACTCCCTCTCCGCTTACTCAGCGGCGAGGTTTATATTGCACTAACCCAGATAGGAATGCCTCCAATTTATTGAACCTCAAATCTCGAAAATGTGAAGGCAAAGCAAAAATGTTTGGATAAAGAACATGGAAACTAAGATATAGAAAGTAGGATATGCAGACGCAGCCTCATAGGCTACCTCAGATATGAATACTGGTTCATTGGACATGCAGAAGTCAAGCTTTTCATCCCCTTCCTAAAATCAAAACATACTACTTCTGAAGAAGTTCAGACCAAGACATGTCACCGGTACAGCGATAATGCTTAGACGGTCAGGAGCATTCAGATGGATGAACCTGGGAGCTGGTAGCACCATAACAACAACAAGATAAGACATGGTGAACTATTCCTTAGCTATAGAGCAAACTATTGCCGTGAGACTATACCTTAAGACCGAGTGAAGAGTATTCATGCTTTTTGACGTGGTATCCAAGTACATCATCCTCGGCAACGGCCATGGTGGTTTGTATACGTTCGTGGCCTGCTCAATAGGCATCTCTATCGGCGGAGCCCGAACCTCCACTACGTGGGTCACTCAACACAAAAAGTGGCTATATGATGAAGTTGGTGAAGAGTTTGAGCATACTGAAACCATCTAGTTAATCAACATGCTTGGACGTATCGGGCAGATATCATGTTCAACTCGATGGCCTGTCGTAACATCAAATCCCCAACATGAATAGAAAGTCTCGTTTACACTGTAGGAACACCGCCCACCAAACATCCCGAAATCCACAAAATTATTGTCCATCAAGATTTATTGATTTGTCCATAGCTAGCTATATGACGATACCATGAATTTTGTGTAAAATTCATTCAATATAATATCGGACGGAGTGGTGGAGCTGGCAAAGGATCATATGCAGGGCGGGGACTGCAGCTCATTACGCACAAAATAGATCGTCGAAACTCTACGAAGATGAGGTACGAATAAAATTCAAGCGAACGATCAGTGGATCCACCCAGGCTATCGTTCATCGTGCAGTGAATTACCCCCACATAGTTCAATCCTTCGCTAGCTACGGAGCAGTCTTTATGTAAATAGTCGCTTGTAATATGATGGCAACAGCCTTGATCCGAAGATGTTGATTACCGTGGGACAGGAGCCAATATGCCGTTGCATGATAAGCTACATTGAACAAGCCATTATATACTTCTCGACGCCAGCAATGTTGGCGCTTTTCACTGAAGACACATATTGACGTCCTCGGCATGCGATAGTGCATCCAGCTCAAGTCCAACATATCAGAAGTGGGCTCGGCTATCCCGTAGATTAGCCAGGAGATGCTGAGGTCATAATTCGGACAGCGACGTCAGATGGTAGCTTTCTACAGCGTAGTGGCAGTCCCTATAAATACCACAATATAGGCGTAGGGAGTAAAATGTCTCCTTGCTCTATGAAGGCGTTCAAAGCTGCCTCAACATGGTCAAACACTATATTCAACTTAATTGTATACGCCTAGTACGTGATTGGTATAATAGTTCTAGATTCCGAGCCTCATACGCATAGAATACGCAACAATCTCTTGTAGGCAAGAATGGGTTGAATTTCATACCTCGTGAATTGCCGCGGCTTGTTCAATGATTGTTGATCGTTTATCCTTTTTCGGTCCGAGACTTTCCGATAAACACCATGACGTCATGCTCATCATCAGTCTTCGCGTTGACAACATCTCCATATAATGTTCTTTTTCTCGCTTGATGGACGATTTTGAGTATTTTATATCAATTGTAGTAAGATATGGAACTGTCTACACGACATACAAATGACATTTGAGCGATTTACGTAGGCTGTGTGGGATCTCGCAAGGTCAATTTAGCAAATATATATCCTCGACACCAAAGAAGCTGCTTTTGGCGGTTTTCAAGAAGCCATGAGCGGACAATTACCCGGAGCCTCTCCCAAGCTGGGTCCAATAGACGCTCCACTCGTTCTCTTATTATGGCTAGGGGTTTGGAAATCATAAGAAATCCGGATTTTCCACAAGCGGCCTGCTTTTATGATAGCCTTGGATATACACGACTAACCATAAATCATGACAGGTTCTGAGTTCTACACTAATACATTGTCTACGAATGCGCCGCATATGATGACAGGAACATTGCTTGCGTCGCGGCGAGTTCCCAGCTGCAGATCCAAGTGGATACGGCTTCAAGAGCCTTCTTGATTTGATTCCTTTCGACTTTTTTTGTTCGCGCTGCTTTCATTATACTGACATGGATGGATGGAGCCTCATTATATGCTGTATATCCTTGGTCACTGAAAAAAATGGCAAGGACGCGCCTCTCTGACCAGAAAGAAGAAGCCCTGCCAGTTGATCAACAATACGGGTAGGGCAGGCCCCTAAGCCCATTGCAGACCAAGCCACCAATACTACCACAGAAGCCATTCTGTATCTGGAAGCCTAAGTTCGACAGCCGCTAAGAGCGGCGGCACGACCAAGCTTCTACCCCGTTCCCCTTCCCTTCCCTGAGGACTCCAGGACATACCACATAAGGATTTCCACGCGGGTAAGGGTTCTGGGCAAATTGAACAACCCGTAAGGGAATATAAAAAAGAAAGAGTATTCATCCAGGGTTCCCGACCGAGTCCTGCTTCGCCAAATCAGGTGCCGTCGTCGTAGTCGTCGTCGCTATATCATTTAGACACTCGGCAGCTATGCGAGAGATTTCCGATAGCGGAGCGCCCTTCCTAATGTCATTGATAATGTGGTCCACATCCGACTTGGAGCCTATCTGGATTGCGCGCAACAAGTTCTCCAAGGCACTGCGATAAAACTTCAGGTTCTGTTCTGTTGCCTCGGCGGATATCTTGCGGCGTTTGTCGTTGCATTCATTGTAGATACATTCTCGTCTATTGAGCAGACATGGTTCGCATGGACGGCCAGGGCCACACTAAATAAAGACGATAAGATAAGAGGTTAGTGACGGAGATCATGGGCCAACGCTAGGGCTGACGATGATGAATGGACCCTTGGATAAAGCTTGCTTTTATACGTCGTCGCTGGCACTCCAGACAGGCTAATGAGGCTCGTTTGCGTTTGCTCTGCTCGGCAGGGCTATGATCATCAGGTGTGGGCGGAAGTTCTTCCTTGGGAGCGAGACGCCTTTGATAATACCGTCCAGTCATGAATCACTAGGTGGAGATCCGAACGGGTCAAGGGAGAAAATATATATAAATATATATCAAGGGAAAAAATAAATAGGTAAAAATTAATCAAAGTGGGTTGTTTTGGTTCCGGGAAGACGCGTCGGAACGGGGACACATTAAATACCCAGAATAAATTAGGGGGAGTTAACCGTGGAGATTTGGTGAAGATGGAGATGGTATCAGCACAAGATTAATACTAGATAAGACAAGCCGGTCAAGTTCGTAGCCGAGATTTATGCAAGGAGCAGCTTCGAACATTTTTCTCTCTCCCTGATAAATTTACCCCCGAGTTTTCGGCCGAGGATTGAGGGATGATCGACAGTTTTTATATTGCCCCGAAAGGCTAGTTACTAGTAGTTTAGTCAGAATCCACTAAGTTAGGTATTTATGCTCTTGGTCAATCGCTTCCCGTAACAGAAACATTTTTGCGTGCTTCGAACACATAGGCGCATACGCGCCATGACGAGTCAACACATCCCCCGGTGAACATGCCTCCTCCCTCCCCCTGGTCTGAGGAATCTCTCACATCTTGATGCGCATTCTCCTCGCATTCTGCTCTCAGGTCCCTGACAATCCGTCTAGCGACACGACACGCGACCTCGCCACATTGTGGATGTGCTCAGAGAATAGTGTGGCCGAGATCCTTTGCAAACCAATCGTTCTGTTGCACGATATTTGGGTTATTGAAAACTTACCACTACGATATTAGTGTCTAGGACAGATTCGACCATGATAAACGCGTTACCTAGAGCCCCCTGTACAAGTCGTTTCCCCCTGCCTCACGACTCTAACCGTGGGTACCTTATGCGCCGCGAACTTAATGGTCAATTGAATGGGACATGGTAAGGATGATGTATAAATTGCAAGGGAGGGGTTGTCGGATCCGTGACGGTCTCTACGACATAATTGGAAGCTTCCTGTCGGTCTTTCCATACTTTTTTACCCGCCCCTTGCTGGTTACCTCTGGGCATTTTGTTAGGCCACCTTCAAGGAGGCGCCGAAGTGGCCAACACTTCATAATGAAGTCATCACGATTATCATTGGCTACAAGCTAATCTGTGTCAAGTTATCATACAAACATGGAAACAAACCCAACTAGCAAAACCTGGGCGACATCCAAAACTAAAAATATATGAAGTGGTCAAGGATTGCTAATAGACCCAGTGTGGGTATTAACAGTGTTCCCTCTTTTCGATATACTCCCAAAAGGTCGACATTAAGCGATCTAATCACAATATAATAATAGACCTCTTTCACCATCTCTTCGTGGGGTGTATCCATATATGGGGATTCTAGTAATGCGTGACTGGCCTGGATGGTTAGGGTACCATAGAAGCATGTGATGTAGCTACAACAGCCCCTTCTCAGGCTAGAACATCTACGTCCTCTCACACCGTAGCCTCATGTTCGTTGCCGATCGTCGTCGGGTTAGTACTCGGGTTCGAAGCATGAGATGCCCTCCGTTTCTCCATGATACTCGGCTCGGTTTCCGGAAAGACAAATTTGGAGCTCTGCCACGGCTTCACCTTCATCACGTACATCGTATCTATCTCCTCAAGGGTACGGCCTTTTCCTTCCATGACAGCGAAATAAACGAGAGCGGCAGCAAGGAAGAGACATCCCGCAAAGACGTACCCGAACCGGAAGTCGATCGCGCTCGTTATGAACGGCGTGAAGAAGGCCAGAAGGAAGTTCCAGAGCCAGTTGGATGCCGTCGCAAGAGACATCGCACGAGCCCGGAACTCCGACGGATATAGTTCAGCAATAATCGTCCACACCATGGGGCCCCAAGTACTCGCGAATCCCAGAATAAACAGACAGGCGAACACGACCATGACCACACCGGCGGACTTAGTCGACGGCGGGTCATCCCGATTCAGGGAGAAATGGCCCACGGAAGCGAAGACCATGAAGCAGCAAAACATCCAGAGCGCGCCAGCGATCAATGAGCGACGACGGCCGTAGTTCTCGATGAGATATAGTCCCAGGAATGTGGAACCGAAATTCACTGCACCAAGGATCATCTGCGTCACGTAGCTGTTTTCGATTCCGGCGCCCTGGAAGATGGTCGTGCCGTAGTAGAAGAAGTAGTTCGCACCCGTCAACTGCTGTAATGCTTGCAGGGCGACCCCGACAGCAACACGGTACGCCATTCGTGGGGCCTTGAATAGCTGGATCCATGATACTTGGCCGCGTTCCACCTCCTCTTCATATTTTTTCTTGATCTCATCAAACTCAATCTGCAGTGCTTGATGGTTCTTAGGAATGCCATACATCTTTGCCAGCGTCGTAATAGCCCTATCCACCTTGCCCTTTCGATAGTCGTAACGCGGACTTTCTGGAAACAGTGCTATCCCGAACCCGAGAATTATAGCCCAGATATACGTCACTCCCATTGGAATTCGCCAGGAGGCTGTGCTAGTTTTTGCCTCGGTACCGAAGTTGATACAATTGGCAACGAAGATGCCCAGAGTGATAAACAACTGGTATGTACTGCTTTTGCGTCAGAAACAGTAATGAGTGATATGTTCTAAGCTTATGCCCACCTAACTAGGGATCCTCGAATATGCCTGGGGCCAGTCTCAGCTTGATACATAGGAACCAGGAGCGATAAAGCTCCCACACCAAGACCAGCAACCCATCGACCTAATGCAACCTGATACCACTTGCCTGTTGGGGCAGAGATCTGGACCGTGATTCCTGCGCAGAGAATCACACACCAGCCACTAACACACCATTTGCGACCAACCCGATCAGCAATTGGCGCGGCCACCAATGCACCCATTAAGGTGCCAATTGACAGCTATCGTAAGCTTAGCAGGGTAGCTAATGTTAAACGAGATAAGAACTATACATACCAGAGCAACAATCAGGCCCGATCGAACGTTCGAGAAGTAGTATGTACCGTCTGCCTTTTGCTCACCGTATCGCTGGAGGAAATCCGGCATCTCCAGAAATCCAGAAATCTGACCAGTGTCATAACCGAAAAGAAACCCACCCATCGAGATAACTATACACATGCTAAATGACCGAAATGTCAGAAAAGGGACCTTTGTGTCTACCAGACCATTATCCCCGTCCGCGCTTTCGCGGAGGACGGCATCCGATGGTCTTGGGTCCACCTCATCTTTGTAAGGTCGATCTGCATTTGCGCGAGGTTTTTTCAGTTTGGGAAGCCCCATTGTCTAGTTTGTAGAAATGTATCAAAGGAACGGGTCAATTGAATTCATAAACGATGTCTCAGTATAGGAGCATGTAAGCTGATGATACAACAGGAGGTTTTATAAGTTGAAAAACTGAGACGGTTCAAGTACCTCCGATGAGGTCATCACCCATAGTAAAATCCTGTATAATGTCGTACCTCGCGTATTTACAATGAATTCCATTGTGCGAGCAAACCTGAGGTTTCAAAAAACGGTTGCGTTTCTGTTAACCACCAGCGAGTTGATGCGAACCCCAGACAACCCCGGATCTTCGGTTCCACGGACGAAGAGGTCGTCAGTCCCAATCATTGACGCGAACATACTCAGGTGACAGAGCATATAGAGTTTGTAGTTGTTGGAACTCGCCATCATGTTTGGGTGGTTCCAATCATGACGGGAAGTCAACCCATGGATCCAGCCGTTCTCGACGAGGCTTTAGGCTTCACGATTCGGCCGCCGCGGCTTGGCCTACGTCTCGATTACAGCATTCGTACAGCTTAGCCGATTGAAGGTTCGTGCCATATCTTTTGCTTCGAGGTGTAATTGAAACCCTAGAAAGAGCATTCTGCTCTGCTGATCCTTGTGTGATGGCGGGCTTGGTTTGCCACTTGATTGCCGCACGGTGGCTTACAATAGTAGATATACGCCTTTGCTTGTACACTATTAGAACAATTGAAGGTATGTGATTAGGCTTTTCCGGAATATTCTAGTTCCATTTGCGAGTTGTGTGCTACCAGTCGTATTCTGTAAACGACATGAATAACATGCATAATCGAGCATAAAGGATCGGCTAAGTCAGCTAAATGTTAGCACATATTCTAATTCATGAGTCATCGCCTGGCCTTATATCTTAATGAGAAGATCTCGAAGCATACGTTATCGCTTGATTAGGAGCTCGTTGAAAATGTTATCGCTGATTCGAGATATTCACTTTGCTGTTTCCGTGAGAGCCAATACTCTTAGCACTAAATATTAATCAAGAGAGTCTTGTGCAGTCACACTAGTGCTCGAAAAAGTATTACTCTGCAGCTAAGTCGTTCATACCTTAAGACAGATCGTCCAATAATTGTCCATTAAGGATTGGCTATATCATTATCACATCGAGGTCTACCAACAAGATGTCAAAAGGGAAGGAAAGCAAAGGCAAAAATAAGATAACACATTAAAGGGAGAGACATAAACAAGTATATGTAGAGGTAACATAAGAAGAGACAACATTCCATGATTTAAATATTATGATATCCGAATCGTAAATCGAAGGTTGAAGAAGGAAAGTAGTAATGGGGTCGTTCAAAGATTAGCGCTGTATTTAGTCCATGTGTGTGACCCTGAACAGTCCGCAAAGATATTTAGTTCCCAGTAATATCCTTTCAGTTGCGGTGGCAGACACCAGAGATCTGGGTCTGGGGAGGACCGACATCAACAGTCTGGACACCGCTGACAGTGGTAACGCTGTTGTCAATGCCAGTGAAGGTGCACTCAACACCCGGAGCATGAGATTCAATGTGAGAGATGCTGAGGGGGTTCGCTGGGACTAATGTCAGTTACCATGAACTACTAAAAATTGGGCCGGTTATACGTACAGATATGAGTAGCGACTCCGGTGGTCGGGAAGACCCATGTGAACTGAGCATTGGCTGCGCCAACAAAAGTGATAACCACATCCTGGTTATCAGACGACCGACGCTCGTGCTGGGTGGGAGGCACTTCGCCAACGGCGCATGCACCCGAGATCTGTGTCTGGGGAGGGCCAACGTCTACAGTCTCTGCATCGGAAACAACAGTGACGCTGTGGTCAATGCCATCGAAAACGCATGACACGCCGTTGGTGCTGGAGGCGATGTGGGAGATGCTCAGAGGGTTGGCTGGGATGGTCAGAGCTACATCACGAGCTTCAAGGGTCCTCAGTCAGATCAACTTACTAATGGCAACACTCGACCCGTCTGTTGGGAAGTCCTGAGTAAACTGGGCATCGGCCGCACCGATGAAAGTGATGGGAACTGAACCTTGGGTCCGAGGAATGCTGGCGCCGTTGACACCGGCGACAAGTGCAACAAGAGCAGAGGTCGAGGAAAGCTTCATCCTGAATGTCTGGTTTATAAAGAGGTTGATGGTCTCTGTTTGATCTTGTATTGAAAGGTAGTAGTGAGGATGCTTGATGTTGATCTGAAAATGGGACTTGAAGCAGGAACCATGGGGGTTTATATAGGTATCTGGAAGCAAGCCGCTGGTACGAACTGCAGGAAAACTTGACCATCTCTGGAGAAGTCCTTACAGGTTACCCCAATGTTACTATTCCCAGAACACATCACAGATACGAAGCCATCCATGGATAGAATGAGACATAGCCATACGCAACGTCTCCCAAAGTAGGTGTTGCCGGCCCAACGCCTAAGAGCCCGAAAGCAACAACATTATTGGCATATGGCTGTCATCTGAGCAGCTCACTGCCCCAAGAAGATGGATATCAGATCCGAATCGACCTGTAGAAGAGCAGTCTATACCAACACCGGTCAATCGAGACTCCGACAGATTGCCCGAGTACATGGTTGGCCTTATTTGCGTGCCACCTCTCTAGGTTTGACTTTTTGCTAAATATATCGCGCGTTGATAAGTATATTTCCGCTTTTGGCTAATTCACAGCCTTCTTTTGCGGATAACCATGGGTCATTTCCGTGACATCACCTCTTCGGATGCACCCGACATTGCGAATCACCTGAACTGTACAGTACTATTATTCAGGAAGGAGGCTAAATCGCTCATTTCGGTTAAAGTTAGGCCTTGGCCTACACCATTTACATTCATTTTAAGTGGTAGAGTGATATGTTTCTATCGAAAGAACTAGTCGTTCAATCACGGCAAGCGCGGCCCAAAGGATCACTTTTCCTACCTGTAATTTCAAGATAACGAAACAGCCGTGCCTCGCATTGTATGTGTACAAACTTTGAATGTCCAGATGTGTTAGTTTAGGCTTGTATCTGAACCCCAGCTCTTTAATTCCCGCGATATGACTTAAGAAAATGGAACGATGATACATGAGCTTAGTACAGTGTTCGGGTGAATGAGATCCTAGACCGACGCTATTTTCAGGTAGTACGAAAATTTATAAATCTACAAACTCATGTAGTAGAATCCATGGAACTCTTCGGATGCCATGCTAGCGATCTACACGGAAGTGGCAGGACTCGAAGATCGAACCCCGGATTTCACTAACTGCCTATCGTATGCTAGTGCTGACGATAAGCCTCAAGTGAAAGTCGGTCATTGGGGCGGAGATGGCCTGACCTTTCTGGGGTTTGCCTGATCACCGTGCCTACCCAAGGTCTACAAGGTATGAATGTTGCCTAGAACAAACTTGCGGTTTTGCATGGTCTAATGAAGTTGTTAGGAAATGTCTATCAATAGCACTATGTTCTACTCGAGGCTTATCCGTATGTAAGTGGACCCAACGTTTCCACACGATATGGAAGCGGCATATACGAGGTTAAGAAAGGAAAACGTGGGCTTGAGAAGTCACCCAATTGTTGTCTTCCATAGACTTTAACACAGCCGGGGCTCGCATGTCCATCCATTACTAAATCTCTGACGAACCCATATCTATGGATCGGTACTTTTCAGCTTTCCTGTTATAGTAGTAGTGAGTATATGTGGATGCCTGAGAGTCTGAGACTACTGGTAGCCTTGGTGTTCAGATCGTCAATTCCCCGCACCCAACACGAGCCAAGTCAGCATGTAAGTTCACCGATGGGAATGAACCACCAATGTGCTATATTCACGTTGCCTACTAAAATCTGACGTCGGTGCGTCTTTTTGCCCGAGCCCTACCGGGAGCCGCTTGCATGCACCTCGCCTCCTTCAGCCTCCTGCACAGCCTGGGTTCCTTGTCTGTCTACGTGTAAGGTCATTTCTACTCTATAAGCTTTCTCAGTTAACAGTGTTGTCAGAGCAAACGTAATCATTTTCCCGGTGCTACATATTCACTCCTATCGGTACTTTACTTTTTTACGTGTTTCATACGTGTCTACCTTGCCGCTCCTCGCATACCGCTTCTTTCCCACCCTCTTGCGGATATCGCGGCCTAATGACCGGAAAGTCAGCATACGTGTATGGATATTACTAAGACCTATACTTTAACCGTTGGTATGAAATCAAGCTTAAAGGGCCCCACAGACGGCGCAGTATGTCGATACTTTCGCCTGACACGAGGACATGGTTTAAGCTCCAGCCAAACGTCCTACTAGTAAAACAAATCCGGATGCCACTCATATCTATGATACCGACTGTTTCAACATAATATTCAACCAAGACCATGTCGAGGATGATACACCGCCTCAAGCCCGTCCCGTATTCAGTCTTGGACTCTGAATGCCGTGAAGCCTCGAATAGCAAGGCCTAAGTGATGAATACCCAGGTACACCGAGTCTTGAGAGATGCCTTCAGTCCCCACTTCTCAACGATAGCCGTGAAGTATTCGATCTCCCAGACTTTCGGTCCTATTAATAAGATTCCATGTCATGCATGTATGAAATTACCGAATACTCAACACTTTCAGATGTATGGGTATTTTGCTTGCCCAGAACTCAGGCCACGTTGATTAATTATACCCCTTGAAAACTTTTACGATATCTGCTAATCACTTAAGTAGATTTGGCTTCACGAATTCCATCTAAATTAACGGCCTTTCGCTAGTTAGAGTTTCCCCAAGGTTCCAATGAACCAGCTTTCCCTCGTTGGTTGAGCGAGGAACCACCCACAGAACTTGTCATTCAATCAAATTAAAATCAGCGGCCAAACAGACATAATTAGTTGCATATCATATATGAAGCGGTAGGCTGTGGAACAGCAGTCTTGCTGTTTTGACGTTTTACTTCATCACTCGAGATTTTACGTCTTCTAGTAAAGTCGTGACATAATCGACGCTCCGCGGTGGAACCCTAATGTAACCTCGAAGCACTAACGGTACTCATGCATCCCTACCCATGAAATGGAATTACGACGCGATGCTGGAATAAATACACCGAATGCGGTGACATCTTGTGCAATATCCAGGAGGAAAAACTGTGTCAACAAACTTTTCAGCTCGCGCCAACGTGTATCTCACTGTATCCCGCAAAAGTCGTACGCTCATCGAAGTGTTTACTACAACCCAACCCATTTGACGTTCTTGGTAGTGAGAGAAAAGTAAAGTATTTTTATTCAGTATAAAACGATAACAAATATGGATACTATCTTGAGACCCCTTCTACTGTCTCCGAAACTAGTTCAACGCTGCTGGGACCGTCGCGAATATGATGTTCACCTGGAACTGGACAGCACTTTTGTGCGCCCTACTCTCTATCCTTTCAGTCTGTGTAGCAGATATACCTCAGACAAACTACGATGTGATCATTATTGGTGGTGGTCCTTCTGGCCTTAGCGCAGCGAGTGCCTTGTCTCGTGTCCTGCGGAAATCGGTCCTCTTCGACTCTGGCGAGTACCGCAACAACCCTACTAGACACATGCACGATGTGATTGGAAACGACCGTACGTATATTTTTCTTCAGATGCAGCATTCTATTATGCTGAGTTGGTATTAGACGTCGTGCCCGCTGAGTTTCGGCAGACTGCCCGCGAGCAAATCTCCTTTTACAACGCGACAACATTCATAGATCAAAAGGTGACCAAGCTCGAAAAGGTCGGTGATAACGTCTTCCGAGCAACCGTCGGAGAACAGCAATATACAGCTCGCAAGGTCATCCTAGGCAGTGGGGTGAAAGACAATTTGCCCAATGTACCAGGTCTCCAGGAAGGCTTCGGGAAAGGTATCTTCTGGTGTCCGTGGTGCGACGGGTTCGAGCATCGCAACCAGTCTATGGGAGTTCTTGGGAGTTTCTCCGAAGCATACGGTGCTGTTAGAGAACTGCACCCGACCTTGAACAAGGATGTCAGAATCTACGCGAACGGAACCAACACCACAGAGCAGATCGCAATCCTGGATAAGAACCACCCCAACTGGAGAAAGGTGTTCCAGGCATATAACGTGACGGCCAATAACAAGCCCATTCTTAACATCACCCGTATTCAGGACGGAGGGGTTGTGTATGATCCCGCGATTCGGCGGGAGTTCGACAAATTCCAAATTTACTTCGCCGATAACACCTCTGAGGTGCGCGGCGCGTTCATCACTAACTATGATACGTCGCAGAGGTCAGATCTTCCCGCTCAGCTCGGTGTGGAAATGCTGGGGTCCAAAATGAATACGTTGCGTAAGGGCCTGCGAACTAGCGTTCCGGGCGTTTGGGGTATTGGCGACGCCAACAGCGATAACAGCACTAATGTTCCCCATGCCATGTCTAGTGGAAAGTCGGCGGCTGTCTACTGTCATGGTAAGCCTTAGTTGTCTCCTGCTTTTTGTTGTATGACTTACTCACCGTCTTCAGTTGAATTGGCTCAAGAGGAGCTCGACCGCGACGTCGCGCTGGAGAAGAGAGAAACCGAGTTTGACGAGGACTCCTTCCACGAGACCACTGAAAAACAGATGGGTAGCGAAATCCAAGACCTGTACAAGAGACTCAGCCGACGTTAAACTTTAATAAACCATCCATCTCTCGGGTTCTTTACGTGGTATCCTTACGCATAACACTAGGTGGTGCATTAGTGAAAGTATGTTAGATAGCTTCCTACTACAGAGATCGACAGTGCAGATAATACATAATTCTAATTGATTAATGATCGTAGAAAAAAAGACGTCTTCCTACTGACAAACGAAAGTCCGATCGAGTTTGTAGCTGATTTTTCAGGGAACACCTTAGCTTTACGAACATGGATGCATCTCATTCTGGTATTCGTTGTTGCATTAGTGTGCCTCGACGTCAGCCGGATACCTCAACCCATTTTCCTCTCGTACCCTATCCATCACGTCCATAATTAATAGTGTCTCATCCAGCGGCATGAGATCTGACTCGGTATTCCCCTTAGCCAAGTACCGAGCACAGGCATCCGCCTCCCAGAACAATCCATGTCCAACTGGAATTTTAAAATCCTTCCTCTCCACTATCTTCGGACTTCCTTCCCCATACGCAACAACTGCAATACTCAAGGGCCGCGCAGCAGGTCCAAGAATCTGTATCTGGCCTTTATCCCCTAGGATACGGACCCCGGGATCTGTTGGGTCTGAAGTGACCCGAAGACTCGCTGTCGCTATACCCTGCGTTTTACTTTCTGGAAAAGTGACAATCACAGTAGCGGTCTCATCTACCCCTGTTGGTGTGTATTTGACTAGGGAGCTAGAAATGTGTGGTGGTGGCCTGACAGTACCAGAGCCCAGTGGACCATCATGATAGAGGATCTGAAAGATCCATGTTAGGGGGTATATAGCCACTACAGGGAAACATGTTAGTACAGCTTCTCCAAAACCCCTAATTTGGCAAAGACCTGCATCTCCATGGATGCCACTTACAATCGAGCAAAGCGCCACCCGCCAGGGCAGGATTCACCAATCGATGCTCCATTCCGTAGAGCGTCTCAACATCTCTCCCTAAATTTCGGTCCGCAACCACACGCTGCACAACTCCAATTGCCCCATCTTTGATGAGTTGCCTTACATACTGCATGAGTGGGAAGAAACGGGTCCACATTGCCTCCATCAGGAACAGTCTCTTCCCCCGAGCGAGCTGAACTAGAGCGCACGCCTGGGCTGCATTAACCGTGAAGGCCTTCTCAAGCAAGACGTGCTTTCCTGCGAGTAAGGCAGCGCGGGCATTCTGAAAATGGTGCGAGTGCGGTGTGGAGATGTAGACAATTTCAACAGTAGGGTCTGCGAGGAGGAGCTCGTAGGACCCGTAAGCGGTTGTATTGGGCGGTGCATTGATGGCCGAGAGGAAGTCCTGTGCCTTTTGCAATGAGGTCGAGGATGCGACGGCGGCTAGGTTGTGGGTGACATCATGGACGCCCCTTGTTGATGGGTCGATGAGGAGGTTTTTCGCAAATTCTGAACAATAGGCTGGGTGAGCACATATGTTAATTGTGATTGAACGATGGTGGATGACGAACTTGTAGCGTTATCGCCAGTGGCTGGTTGGGGATGTTAGGGTTAGCGGCAATAATGGTACTTGTTGAGAAAAGGACCTACCTACATATGATTCCCCAGTTCACCATCTTGCTCCTTCGCAGTCATTCAGAACCTCAAAAGTATGTTCAGCGGGATAGGTGTTCTTATAGGTTCAGAGAGACTTTGAGGGGTCAATTAATTAACTGGCTTAATCTTAGCGCATCACGTCATTTCTCGCGATAGTGACACTTACCACTTACTACACTTGTTCTTGACCATTGACTAGGTAATACTAGGTCAGAAGGAGTATTAAAATGTTATGTATATGCCACTGTAGGTCCTGGAATGAAAACCTCTGCTTTCCGTTTGCTCTACATCTTCAACACGGGGTGGTCCGAAGGTATAATGAACCGCGATAATTTGATAAAGGCAAAATGTAACCTCGTCAGGAGATAGATTCTCAGCTCCTCTTCAATCACATTCTTGTCTACAGTATGATGGGTTGGGTTCGACTGCGGATTATGCTCGACGGGCCTCGGCTTTAGAGTTTAGAAAGTGCATTAGAGGTAATCGAGATATGCGAGCGTCGTCGGAAGAATCTGATTTCGAGGCCAGATCAAGACGTCAACCGGCGAAATATTTTCACCCGGAGGAAATAGAGACCTCATTATGGTTCAATATTTGGACTCTCATTATGAGTCCCGCGTATTTAATTAAGATTCTTACATAAACGGAAACAAGTGTTTCATCCTTTCAGCTCGGTTAACCAACATATCATAGATTTTTCAACTATGGTCTTTGTTACTTTCTCCAGATGGCTGTAAACTACCTATGTCGGTTTATCTCTGCCCAAGTACCTGCTTTAAGTCGGTCCGCCAGGCAGTGAAAAATGGCTGAGTTCCCTGCGCAACCATTTCCCGTGGTGCGTTAGCCATTTTAGCCATTAATCTGATAAGCCAGTCCTCCTTCGCGGTTTCAGTGTCACTCGCACATCGCAGCTTGTTCTGTGTGGAAGTGGGGTCCACAAACGTTTGGAAGACTCGTCGACGCTCGTCTGAGTAAGTGTTCAGTATGCTGATAGGCTTCCCCTCGTGGATGATTAACTCTAGCGCATCTGCAAGAGCTTCGGAGTCAATGAGACCGGTCGTAAGTCCCATAGCTCCCATGGGCTGGAGGTTTCAAGGTTAGTACATGGCACTGTAAAAGATACTACAGATGACCAAGTGAGACATACGTTATTCAGGTGAGCTGCATCCCCGGCCAGAGCGCACCGTCCACGGTTGAATGTAGAAGCGCATAGTTGATGCACACGATATGGGGACGCCCTAAGGACTTTGAAAGGAAGTGGTCTTGGGCCGGGAACAGCTTTGAGGAGAAGTTCTTCAAGGCTTTTCTCCGAGACCAGTTCATCATCGGTGCGTGCATCCGTAGGATCAACTGCTACCGTGCACCTCCATAAGCTTTCCGTGCCAGTGCGTGGCTCCTCCAGTGGCGACATCAGACCATAGTAAACAGGATCGACAAAAAGCGAGCTCGGAAACTTCTCATCAAACTCAACCCCATCAAGCAGAACATCCATAGCCACAAGTCTTTCAGGCCAGCTATGGCCTTTGAGGCGGATCCCAAGGAGCCTTCTGGTGGCTGATCTTCCTCCATCCGCACCGACAAGGAACGAGCCTTGGAATTGTTCCTGGCTACCGTCCCCACGAACGGCAGTCGCCGTCACGGAGGCCGAATCTTGTTCAATGCCGATAACCCTTGTCCCAAGATGAACAGTAACCCGGCCGGTCTCCAGGACCTTCTGGTACAATAGCTTTGTCAGCTTGGCCTGCTGGAGGTTGACCACTCCACTGTCCCAGCCCTCGTTGCCTACAACTGGCAAACTCGCCAGCATGTCTCCGAATTTCTTCCCTCCTTTACCATCGTCTTCAAGTGGACCCCTCCAACACAGACCGTGCGTGGTGAAGCCAGCCTTTTTGACATCGTCTAGGACCTTGGCACGTTGAAGGGCATGCAGAGCGGCTGCGTAATAAGAGCACGCACGAGGAGTAACATTCAGCTTCTCCTCCTTCTCTAGTACATCAACATACACGCCACTCTGGGCTAGCCTCAGCACCGTAAGCAAACCCACTGGTCCTGCGCCCACAACAATCACCTTAGTCGCACCGGCTCCGGTTTCGTGGGAGGAAGGGTTCGGCGTCATTTCCGGCGATACAATCGTAGGGTGATTATAAATTAGTGAAACTGATGAGCGAGAGACCTATGTTTCTCGTTTCTAAAGGATTGGACATGAATGAACATTTGGCAGGCGTAAAAGGCTCCTACTTATACGTTAGTGTCTGCATGAACAATTACATCGCGTCATACCTGTGTCTATTACAAGCGCTCACCTCACCAGACAGGATAGCCCCAAGCTACAATCCTGAACCCGAACACTAGCTGCATAGTGAGTTGGTTGAGACCCGCAAATATTACTCCCGGGTGGCTCGGTCAGTCCTCGTTTATCCCATAATGGGAATATCGAGCGCGTCTTTTGCCGATTAATGCTTCGATCTAAGTGTTCATTATCCAGGGTATGCTCTACCCCGAGACAGATCTACAGCTCTGAATGCCTCTATTGGACTATTCTGCTCGGTATATGGGCGAAAGGGGATGCGTTGTTGTAGATCCCCGGATACCTGAGTGATTTCCCCACCGTACCCGAAGAGCGATCAACATGCGTACCACACTACCCGAGACAAAACCTATGCACCACGTTATGGCGACAACTCATTTCATAAAACAAATGCTGTGGAAAGTTTACTTAAATATCATAGAGCTAGATCCTTGTAATTGCATCCCGGCAAATTGATCAGGCCACTTGCAACTTTCTCTATCTCCAGACTTGTGACGCTCAATCCTACAACTTATTCGCACCATGCCCTCGAAAGACTATGTTTACAAGACCTCTGGGTCCCTAGAAATTGCAGCTACAGTGTACTATCGTCAGGATGAGACCCGGTCGTCCAAGAAGCCAATCGGTGAGTGAGTTTGTATATTGGCGGAAATACATATTCTAAACATGCGCGTCCAGCTATCGGATTCCATGCCGGTGGCTTCACCATCGGCTCAAGATTCCTCTTCAATTCAAATGAAATAGATGCCCTACTAGATCTTGGGTTCGTGGTGGTCTTGGCAGATCACCGCCTATGTCCCCACGTGTCACTATACGAGGGACCTATCCAAGATGCAAAGGATGCTTTCAACTGGGCAAAGACAACGCTACCAGATCTAATTAAAAAGGATGCCGATATTGATGTCGACGGGGACCAAATTGTGGCATTTGGGCAGTCTTCAGGTGGAACATTAGCTCTTCACCTGGTAAGCAACCCTGAGATTAATGTTTTCTTAAAGCAGACCAAATAACAAGATTCCCTTACAGGGAAGCCTTCCAACCCCACCACGCGCAATTGCCGCATTCTACGCAGCCGCATACTTCTCGGACGAGGTCTGGACACAACCAACTCCCGGCACAGACATGATGCCTCCAATCGATGAAGCATTCGCAGACAGCGTGTACGACGAGGCTCCTGCGTCAATGACAATCGTGGCCCCTCAGCAATTCATTGCCCCAGGTACTATGCCGATGCCAAATCTGTCGGTGCCCAGAGATGCTTGGATGGCTCTGGCATTCAAGGAAGGACAGCACTTGTCCCGTTGCGTTAAGGATGGAGACTTCGGTCGTGTTGATCCAGCGACATACTTCTCGCCGAAGTTTCCGCCGACGGTTTTCTTGACCGGAACCGAGGATACGTTCATCAATCCCAAGTTCTCGAGGCAGGCACATGCGCAGTTGTCGGATTTGAAAGTAGAGACGAAGTTGGTTCTCGCGGAGGGAGGCCAGCATGGATATAATTTTGGGATGGAAAAAGATGATGTGCGTTTCAAGGAAACTGTTTTTCCTGGATATGAGTTCTTGGCAGATCATGTATAGAGAGAGATATGACCGGGTTCTCAGTGTGTCTACAAATGGAACAACAATCAGAGTCTCAGTTCACTTACCTCTGTCGAGGTAACAGTGCATAAAAGATCAATCCGCTTGCACTGAGCCCAACTGTGTTAGCTAAGTATATTGCCAGCAATGCTATCTCCAATGATTCCTTTCTGTCTATTATGTTTGGTTTCATATTGTGTTGGACCTCCGAATAGTTTCGATATATCACCTAATTTTCAGCTTACTAGAGCCATTAATTTCCGTACCCAGCCACTAGGATCATGGCTATGTGATAAAGGAATGCTGTCCAAGGTATAGGAGGGCAAAAAGGTACGATTACCATTTTGGGCCACGCTCTAACTTCCGCTTACTCATACAAATACTAGTCCATATTAGGAAGTCAGTGATGATCACTGACCCACTGGAATGTTTCGCTTTGGGTTCTTAAGTCTTCAGCACCTCCGGCTTTTCTCCTCCACGACCCCATGCTCACATACCCTTGAAAGGACAGTTAGAGCTTTGGCCGGAGCGCATGAACCAGTCGTTCTACAGATGCCCCGCGCTCGCAAAACATCATCCGAGCTGTACTGCTCAACATGTCAAACTACATTCACTAGAAAAGAGCATTATCAACGACATCTACGAACACATACTAAAGAGAAACCATTCGCTTGTACCTGGTGTGGACAAACCTTTGGTCGCATGTGAGATAGCATCAATCTTCGTGTCAGAGTAAATCACTGACCAAGCGGAGAGATTCACTCACGCGGCATCACACCACGGTCCACCAAAATCCGGACGTTGAAGACCTTGGCGGCTTAGTTACTAGTAGGCGCAGGGTCATACAGGCATGTACCCAGTGCAGTCAATCGAAGTTGCGGTGTGATGGAGATCAGCCATGTAGACGCTGTCGTGACCAACAAAGCGTCTGCCACTATGGACCTTCTAAGAGGGCTCCAAAACTTGACGTCGGTGGAGATGTATCGGCGGAACTCCCAAAAGCCCCAAGTGCACAAGTTGCCTCGGAGGTAATGGACTTTGAAGCACTTTCTGCAGCAGAGTGTGCAGTTCATCCGCAATATGCAGCGCCCCATGGCGTTACTCTCCCACCCGATCCCCAACGCCGTAGTCTTCATAGTGAAGCCGAGACAACGAATGCGATGAATGTCACATTAGCTCCAGCTTTGTCCGCGGACGACCTCATTGACTTTGCGAGCTGGTTCAGTGTCCCTGCTGATAATAATTTCTGGCCGGAGCTCACATGCTACGAACAGGACTTATCCGTGTTAGACATTGTTGGGTCATCGGTCACGGAAGGGTCGTTGCAGAAGCCTTGGGATGTACAACTGCGCAGTTCCTTTCTACCACAATTTAACATTGCTGAACTTTACAGACGAAATCAGGACCCAGAAATTGACAAAGATGCCGTCGAACCGAGACATTACGACCCAGCCAGCGCGGAAGTTGAGGCCCCGCTGGTCTTCCCGGACATGACTGTCATTCCTCATGAGGATATCGAGGCAGAGAACCTCGCTCATGTTGAAGAGGTCCCAGCTGAGCTGACAAATACTGTATTTGATCTTGCCAATGATATGCAACTTAAGTCAAACTACCCCCAATTCATCGAATTACGGATTCCGCCAGCACCTGTGCTGAATGCTTGGGTTCAGCTATACTTTGAACATTTCCATCCAATGTTTCCTGTTCTGCATAAGCCCACCTTCTCTACTTCTAGAGCGAATCCCTTTCTAGTCCTCGCAGTTGCCGCTCTCGGTGCTCACTTTTCAGACATAAACGGCGCGCAGCTGTGCCTTCGAGCGATGCATGAGCTGACACGGCGCTATACATCCTATACGGTGAGACACACTATCTCTTTTAGGAGCCTGAATAATAGTAATAGGCCATGAGCAGTGTGAAAAGTTGAATCTGAAGAGTCGGGAACTGTGGATGACACAAACGATACTTCTGAATCAATTAGGTCTGATGTATTCTGGTGACCGGAGAGCTTTGGAACTGGCCGAGATCTTCCAAGCTGTCCCAGTCACTTTAGCTCGGCGAAAGCGCCTCTTTACGAATACACTCCCGCAGGAAAGGTTAGGTCGACTAGAGCTTCCTCTGGGAGAGAAATGGCAAATCTCAATCCTTGACGAGCAGCGTCGGCGTGCAGGATTCGCTATCTGGGTACCTTAGTTCCGACCACTATCGCTATAACCATGGTACTTTTACTAATTACAATGACAGCTCATTGATGCAGCGTATGACTATAGCTTTGACCTATGCACTACTATGAGGGCAGACGAACTGCAAAACTGCTTCCCTCAACCAGAAGATCGCTGGGATGCTTCCAATGCTCAGGTCTGGGCGACCTTTGGAGAAGAGAGTGGTACGCCCGATAATATGCGGTGTTTGTTATGTGTGGCTGACAGTTTATTGCATAGGCCCTGTTAAAAACATAACCCTGGGCCAGGTGATCAAAGACAAGACGTGGCGATATGTTTGGTCGAAAACTGGAACCCTGGGAAAGCAGACGATCTTGCAATATTTGGCAAATGTTGTCAATGACAAAGATTATATGTCGCCTGCGTCGCCTAGTTTCTCACCTGAGCAAAGGCATGCTGCTCTAGAAGCCCTAGAGACCCTGCTCGAAGAAACAGGAGACCAAGGTTACGGGCATTCATTGTCTGAAGTGAAGGCGTCTGCTGCCCATCGTGTTATGATCCTTTCGACACTGTCACTTTATCACACACCAACATCGCATATCGTACCTCTAGCCATCAAAGTGATTTACGGGAAGATGAACGATGACTCTTGGATGCTGACCATCGACCGATGGCGCAGCTCGTCATGCCAAGGGCGGATGGGTGCCCTATATGCCGCTCATGTCTTTGAGACAGTCAGGTCAGCCCGTTGTATCCATTTCATGACCCCTGTGCTTCTCCTGAGAGCAGTTCTTGTGTTGTGGCTGTACTCAACAATTCATGGCCAGCTACGACGGGGTCGCGAATACCAACTGGAGATACCTTCAGTTGTACTAGATCTCAAAAGTCTCGATACACCAGCTACTAAGCAGTGGATCGCGAATGGGTCTGGGTGTATCAAACTTCCGGGGATTAGCAACCTTCTGAGTCGGCAGGGCCGACGCAAAACACTCGAAGACGCCGTCGTGGTCATGCGTTCCCTGAAAGCGTGGGGCATCAGTAGTATGTATGCACAGTTACTGGAACGGCTACGACTAGTCGAAGACATACACCCGGCAGATCTTGAAACAATATAGCTCTACGATTTTGAAAGACTTCAAATCCCTATTCTCTAGGCAGGCTGGTCAGGTGGTTTGCTACCTACCGCAGTAAGCAATAGTGAGCTCTCTATAACGTAACAGCCGAGGATAATTCTTATAATTTCGGGATCCACCCTGAGTCATGGGTAGACATGAGAATATATAAACCCTCTCATACTTCCATGCTCTCAGACATAGCCTATGCATTTATCCTCTTCACACTCGGCAAAACCTCCACCACCTTCATAAATCCTCAGGCACCATGTCATCCTACATTCTCTATCCCGGTGAGTGGCTCGAACTAGGTCACAGTCTGAAAAGCGAAGACAGTACAGTCGAGTTTAGCGTGCAGGCCGATGGCAGACTTGTTCTGTGCCACTCGGGCCAATGTGTATTTCAGACTGAAAAGCGCAACGACATCAAGGGTCTTAAGATGAAAAGGGATGGAAACCTTTGTCTATAGTACGTGGCCCATCCCCCTCCACCCCCCTACGCTTGTCACCGTATGTTAGTTTTGATCGTGGGGCCTCCTGGACTGACACGATGCCATGTGTAGTACCAAGCATGGCAAAGTCATCTGGCAGACCGACACCGCTTATCCCATAGGGGACCACAGCGTCTGCTGTTTCGTGCAGGATGATGGCAACGTCGTTCTCTACAGGGGTGAAAAAACTATTTGGTCCTCCCGCACCCCAATAGATCCTGATCATATCTGCTCTAGCAGTTGCAGACCATAGAGGGTTGAAGAATAATGACCCTCAGCAGGTGGTCTTCCTGTAAGGTCCGTATGTAGATGATAATGCGGAACATACGAACTCCTGTGGTCTATATATGTATATGTCAGCGTTTTGATACTTTTGTATGCCTTAATATATGCTCAATACACGATTTATTAGATAACTGGCCGGTAACGTAAATATAAAAGACCCTCAGAACTAACACGACACAGGAACTTAGCCTTGCCTTCATGAAGGGCGTTTCTTGCTGCTGACAGACGGTAAATCCACATAGCGAAAACGCGCTTCCCACAGTCGTTCGGCCATTCTGAAATTATGTGTCAATGGACCATAAACCCACTTACTATGGAAATGAGCGACGAGGTCAGCAGAGTATCGAATGACTCAAATTATTCCGTACACGGTCTTGGCATAGCCTTCATGGCCCTGCAGCAGTCAGCTTTGAAGATGTTCAATATCTCGCCCAATTGTGACCTGACCGCTGCTGCAGATCTCTGCTTTCCTTGGTAAAAGTGTGGTGGAGCAATTTCTACTTCAACATAACACTCTACGAAACCACTCCCAAGGCCAACTCCGGAACCTACTGGCTCTGAACGAGCCTCTTTTCGTACGACAGTGGAAGCGTGGTTGCCATGTCTGGATAGAAATTTGACACCTGATCATCCAACCCCAGCAATTGGCCAGCATCAATAAAGCCCCCCCACCTGAATGCAAAGGCGTGGGGCTATACCTTACTTGATTAGGTAGCGGAAGATCGTCTGTGGTGGTCCTGGCGAGGGACAGTATGACACGTAGATGAGGGTGAAGCTGCAGGTGGGGCATGACGAAATCATTAACTGCGGAATAACTCGATTTGATAAACATTACTGGGTTATTCCACATTACCCCTAAAACCCCTCTTTCACTACGGGATTTACTACGTACTAGGTGATGAACGTATTCCATGCATGCGCGCGACTAATAGAATGAGGGCTATCCTCGCCCCGCGCAACTATCGGCAGTAAGAATATCGGTATGTCAATACTTCAGAGTCGGATCGCATATGTTGTGGCTACCTAGGGATCAACAAGTAGTCTCTCTTCTCCACCTCAGTACCATAGCTCGTGCAGCGATCTCTTCTGCTATTTCCGATCTCAGTGCTAGTGCGGGGCACGCTGTGGACCAGGCAACAACTGCGTAGGCTCCACGATAACGGATCAATTCAGCTCACGATGTCAAAGCAAACTATCGGAAGCAGACGAGCTATGGTTGCCCCACGGACGGTAGAACTTGATTGGACCTGGTTATGATCGGGCATGCCGGAAATTGACTTGGATAGGACATCTCAAGTAGTTGAAGGGATAGTGGCGAGCTGAACATGGGGATTCTAGGATCGTCTGTGCTCAGAAAACAACGCAACATGGTGGGCTGCGGTTTATGCTGTGTATGATACTACCGACCATTTGGTAGAGGAGATGTGAACATATAAGGCCCCATCATGCCCTCCTTTCAATGCTAAACTCATCAATCCAGTCTCTGAGACACACAAACTATCTGTTTGCTATCTTCCCTCACGCGGTCAAACCTCCCCCACCACGTTCACATATATTTTCTTAGACAACATGCCAGACACTCTCCCCAACGGCGAATGGCTCGAGGTTGGCGAGAGCCTCTGGAGCGAGAATGGCGAATTTGAGTTCAGGATGCAAGATGATGGCAAGATCGCCGTGTACCAAGGCGGTGACCCGGACAACGGCGACGACGGTAGATGCATTTGGCAGAACACTGCCGAACAGCGCTACGATATAAAGGGTATCAGGATGCAAGAAGACGGAAACTTTTGCATGTAGTAAGTTTCCTAGTTTTTGTTTCACGTCGTAATACTCTTTTTTGCGATTATACCATGATGGGTTGATTATGGGACCTCTTGGGTTGACACGATGTCATGTCTAGTACCCATGATGGTGAAGAACCCGAACACTGTGCCTGGCACAGTGACACCGCCGGGGACGTTGGGGATGACACTGTCTACTGCATCATGCAGAATGATGGTAACGTCGTTCTCTATAAGGATAACGATGAGCCCATTTGGGCCACCAATACCGGCCGATGAGGAGGTGGTGGTAGTTTCGCAGACGACACTACATACCCAGGGTTGTGAAGACTCCGAATCGGAATATACAGGGTATAATGTCAACTATTTACATACAACTGGTTAGAGACCTTTCAATGGGAGGAACTTAGATTGCATTAGCTTCGCTCGTGTCTGGTCATCTATCAAAACTGTGTAGCAGTAACTCAATGACGTCGGAGGTCGGTATGCGCCTTTGGAAACCTGTTGCAGCTGGTGGCGGGTTTGTTCCGCATTCCCTGGTAGTCAGTTGGGGGAATTCTGTCTCCGGTTTGCTATCTCATTGTTCGGGATTATGTTAGCTTATGAACAATGAAGTTTGATATTGTGTTTCGGATTCTAATAATGAATAGATATGTCTGTTCTCTGTCCTAGAAGATAGAGCCAAGCACAAACAGACGGTATATCCATACCCTAATGGCCAATTCTGATATAGATATTATACCTTTGAGCATGATTGGTTATGTGGCCTCAATATCTACCTGCGGGGCTTGACTCTGTAGGAGGTAAGCTATAGCCTTCATAGACCGATGTCGTGTGAAAGAAAACAAAGTAACCAGATACACCGTTTCAGCATGTTATCGAATGAAAGAATCCGGAGTCATTATAAACACAGCTACAGTATGATAACTTCCAGTGCCAGTTTTGCAGTTGATAATAGGCATTCTCCTGTTTCAGGCTGACTATATACAAAGGTTTCAAGTTTGGACTCTAGTTTTTAACTGAGACATAACCAAGCCATGAAAGGGAATGCCATACCACAGTACATAGTACACAGAGATTAGACAACAGAGACAAAGACAGGCATGCGTACCCCGGTGTCATAGTTATAAGCATTCACAGTTTGCCAGCCGGACAGTTCATTTCTAATATCCCAAGCCATATTGTAACCTAAACTAAGATTTATTTATGATCCGCCTTGCTTTACCATATTACTACCCTCCGAACCACCCACACCAGCTGGACAAGAGGCGGTGGACACTTGTGCTATTACAAACACACCAGCCGATACACAGCGCAAGTCTTTTACAATGCAGGCCCTACCAGAATCTCAGTGGGCCCATATTGTGGGGTCTATGAGGGCTGCTCAAGATGTCCGGATGTTTGCAAGCACGAGGAACCCAGAAAATGTCTAAACTACGATGCATGAGCCAACGGATGAGCGATGGGCCATTCTTCCATTCTTTTCTATACATGGAGGAAAGCCTGCAGTATATCAGAGACTCCCACCTCAAAAAGTAGCCCATCCACTGCATATAAAGCTGCAGCATATATCGACATTCCAGTTATACAAATCGATACTTGCTTTATCTCTAACCCCGAATCGAGATTTATAGCAAAGTCCACCATGAGTGGTCTAGAGTATGCAGACTATCGCCGTGCTCCCATGTGCCTGGTTTACCTAGAGGACGTCGTCTATCCACATGAGAGTGGCGACTTCATGACATTGATACAAAATATTAGTCGGTTGAAGGAGGCCTGGGCCCTTCAAGAGCTACTAGCTTCAAAAGAGATTACCTTCTATTCTAGAGAAGCCATCCGCTTGTGCACAAAGTCTGATATCTTGCAATCTCTATCATTGTGGACCAAGATTGACGTCGATATTCTTGAGGATCCTGCCAAGATACGGGATGCTTGTATAGCTAAGCGAATGTTCTGGGCTGCCGGCCGACAGAGCCGTTTGGAGACAGATGTGGTACAGAGCCTAAAGGGGATATTTGATGTGAAGGTCATACCCTACCAAAGAAACAACACCCCAAAAAGCGTTTTCTGTCGACTTCAATTCAGGCTAATGAAGATGTATCCTGGCGATCTTTCGATATTCGCCTGGAGGGCCCAAGAACCCGTCCCCTCTGCTAGTCATGGCAGGCTGCTAGCAGATTCACCTTCAGAGTTTGCCTCCTGCCATCGTATCAATCTTATTACGCCTTGCTCCCGACTTCTTCAAGCTCCTCTTCACAGTAAGCCTTTTAAGATAAGACGTGCCGCTCTGTGATTTGGGACAAGACGGTTACCTCTTAGGCCTTGAGTGTTTCGACGCGTCTAGACCACAGGTTAAGCTAGGTATCTGCGCCAGACTGGATGAGCAATCTCCGTACTATTGTCGGGCCGATGTGATGCAAATAGAAGAATGTGGTTGGAATTTACCAGGGCAATCTATCACTGTATTCCAGGACAGGTGGGTGGCGAATTCTGCAAAATTCGAGGAGCATGAGCGCCAGCGCCAGCAAAAAATGGGTTGACGCTAGGATAAGACATGAACTGGAATCCATGGAGACTGGCGCCTCCAGAGAAGAGAATCCAAAGGGAGGAAAACGAAAGCGGGAGTACAAGAAGGGCCCAGAGTAAAACTGAAGGGAGGAGAACATGGCACACAAGGGCCAGGGGCAACGCTTGAAGAGCTTCAGATTAAGACATTTCCTTCGACTATTCCTACCTCGTAGTCTAGTGTGCGCCTTCTTTGCGCAGTTCGTCCTTTATCATCGTCCTTCCATGTTCATTATATATGCTCAGTGTTATTTCACTGGATTGCTTTTCAGACCACTAGTCTGCTAAATGCTTATACGTTGGTACTTCACATTGCTCATATATGCTTGATGCCATGCATACTTAGTTCGCAGACAAAATTTCATCCATATCTTCATAATAACTAGGTCCATTACTAGGTTTCGGTTCTTAGAAAGGAACATCCGTAAGAATCAACGGAAAATAGCATTATACGCCAAGGCCATACGGGCTTTCCCGAAGCTGATGGGATGGTAACACAAGAAGGCAGCAATGAACAGTGTCCTTGACCATCTTGTCAGCGATGTCTACTTGCCGTATAAAGATGGAGTCATCCGACTTAGACATGGAAAGTACTAGTCAGTAGTCAAAGAGATCCAAGCGAGTCTAACGTGTTACTTTCCGATAGCCCTCTGGCAAATACCTCAGAGGATGTTTTCAAATAGAACTCATCTAAGCCACTATCGGTATTTTGGTAAACACGCAGGACCGGAAGTTGCCCAAGGGTATATAATACAATGTTAAGTCGGTTTCGGTATAAATATCCTCGGGAATCATCATTCTTACAGTAGGAATATCGCATTTACATAGGATAAAGGCCCCGGCGATAATCAACTGCAAAGGACTATGAATCTCTATAAGTAGCCATACGATTCCAACCCTACCTAGAACATATACATCATTCCTCCAGGCCTAGTGTCTGTTGTCAAGCCCTCATCAAAGAACTATCCCGGTTGCTATTTCAGTCTACCTTTCTACTGTTCACCATTGGGATCGGTAGTTTGCATTTCGCAGAAAGTGTCCTCAGGGGAATCAACTCTACAGTGCGAAAACGTTACCGATAGAGCCCTAGCTAGTATTACTTTTGCTCTGCTACAGCCATCCTATGCATCGCGGGCGCTAGTGAACGGCACTCCTCTATAGCAAGTCTCCTACAAATTGTCACTTGCAATTTATCACCGTTCAAGCTAAACACTCATCTTGAATCCACAAGGTGTATGTTTTCGATATTGTGACTGTGGCACCATGGTGGTTTCGTAAACTTGGGCAATTTCCCTCACACTTCGCAGTTTTTTCACGAAATTGCGATAAAGATGATGTATTGAGTCCGCACTTCCCGCATACCGTTCTCTCACAAAACGACCGTCTGCATCAAGCATGCAAGATTGCGAAAGAAAATCGTATAAACTGGTTGTGGATAGAGCCCTATAGCCTCGCAGATACTCACAACCCTCTCCCCTGGAACGTATCTATCCTCTCTATGCAAAGGCATCGCTATGTTTTGTATACCTATCCGACATTGCAGCCGTCAAGGATTGGGGTCAGAGCAAATGGTTTCGGCACACATATACACTCCCAGAGCTGGTGGCCTCGAACGAAATACTCTTTTTCACCAACACGTGGACGCCAGTGGGTTTCAAAAGTAACCTTTGCAAGGAACTGTCTTCCATAACAGGCATTGATGAGGCTGTATTAAGGGACCGGGAGAAAGTGCAAAATACCAGCGTGGCCAAACGTATGTCTTGGGCATCCCAACGAATCCCCCAAAAGAACAGATGGGGTAGGCCAATTGAAGAGGAATCGGCACATTGTCTGATGGGGATCTTTCATGTGCCAAAACTGGCCGTTCACCTCACTATTGGCCTGAAAGCAGCGATGCTTCTTCTCCAGCAGGAAATCATGAAGGAATACCCCAAGGACCTTTCAATATTCGAATGGCAACACACGGATGTTAATGACCCAGGCACGAATGGAGTGCTCGCGGGGTCTCCATTCCAGTTCCGCTTCTGCGGTGAAGTTGAATCATTTGACAATGGGAGCAAGATAGAGCTGGTTGAAAACAGTGATAACATGTTTTCTATCAATGGGCTCGTTATCTCTCAGGACCTGGACCGGATTGGCTTGGTCCTTAACTCTTATCACAACTATATCCGTCCTAGGGTGTACCCACTCATTCTTCTCAGCAAAGAGCCGCCCAAATCGCGAGAATCGACCAAAGTAGGGTGTTACCGTACAGACGTTGGCAACATGTGTTATATCTCTCCCGGTAAAGCTGTAACTATGCCCACAGCACAGGGACTAATCTACATTTGCAAGGATGGGGCCGCCTTCTTTCAAGGAGCCGTCTCCCCTGCTAATCCAGCTGATCTTTGGGGGGGGTTCTAGCTCGAATGTACACCTCAATCCGTTCCTTTTCATAGTTCTGTTCATTTTTTATCTTACTATCACACACCCTCTGCTACGTTGCGGTACAATCTCTTATTGCCCCATTCTATCATATATTTCCTTGTTGTCTAAGCTTGGTGCTCTGTGTCAGTCTTTGCAGAACTTTGGAAATTGTTCGTTGAACGGCCCAAAGTCTATGTCATTCGTCTGTCGAGTCTTCCCTTAGATGTTTTCTACCCTTTTCCCGTGTTACAGAAGTAACTAAAATGCAATGGTTAATCCACCCACATCGTGTGGTTCAGTACATGTCGTAACAAGAGCTCAATAGCATTGATAGGTCCCACTGTTAAAGGAGCACTTCATATATGTTTAGCAGGGTTATCGAATAAGTCCTTTAGCTATGTAAATTTCTATCAGGACAATTTATGCTACAGCCTCGGATGATATTCTATGGATACTTCTTAAGTTGAATAGCAACTAATACTGGTGAATCCAATACATTTCAGCTGTGTTTAGACTTTGGGGACAAGAAGGACATACTTGGGCTGATGGATCTTTCTTCAAGACACGTTTCCCTTAGTCCCGAGCCTTGTATAACCTTTCACTTAATTCACCGCCCTATAATTTATGTCCAATGAACTCTAGGATAGGACTCCCATGTGTATGTGCCAATGACGCCTTAGTGGACTATCTCATTCTCGAAACCCTAGTATGCCCCTTTGCCCTTTCTCATGATGAGCTGATACAGGGCAGAAGTCCTTGCTAAGCGAAGGCTTCTCCAGCTTATGGGTGAGTCGTACGATTTCTTCAGACACATCCCAGTGCCATCAAAGATGGCAATAGCGCACAACGCATCCCATCGATAAAAATGTTGGTAGACACGGATGCTATATCCTAGAACATTCCAGTAACGTACGGCTCCAGCCCTTGCTTCGTCGCTCAAATAGAGGTGGTTATCTCCCTGGCAATGATATGGTCTTGACCGTCACGATGCTTAACCTGAGGGGCGCTGGGTATTCTAAGGATGCATGAATAGAGTTAGACATTCAAAAGTGAACTCATTTTTATGCGTTTCAACTACATCAGGGTGGCATCTATGTGGCGCTCTTGCTATGCCCTTTCTCTTTGGGGGGGGTATTCTTCTTGTTGAACCTAAGCAACAATATATATTGAGATTTAAATATCGTCCTATCAGCCGAGTAGACCCCTAGCCACTAGTTAGCGGACAAATTGCTAATTTAATCTAAGCCGCTCTTGCAAAATGTCATTCTTCGGCTCTTGAATCAATGTTTTTATGTCTTAGATAGAATATTTACATGTACAGTTCCAAATATATATAATCCCACCGAAATATATAAACATGGTAACCCAATTCTCCAACGCCTTATACATAACCCAGAATCTGCTTTCGCATGAGAAAGATACCGTAACAACTTACAAACCATATTAATGTCGTGTTAAAGCGATTAAGTTCTCGGTTCATGAGACGTTGAACCACGGCAACGTAGTCCAGGTACCCGAAAGAATCCGAAGAGCCCCGACTCTAAGAAAACCAAGGCACGGGACCGGGTGTTGTTCTTTCGATGGTCCGAGCTTTTATCTGACCGCCTACTGTATATTTACAATGGTGAACGAGAGTTGTTTTTTAGTATGAAGGCACACCCTCTTCGTGGAATTCAAGCCTCTAATAAAAAAGCGCAAAAATATATCGTCATAGTATCAAGACCTTAGGAAAAAAAATCTCTCCAGCTAGCGTTTCAGTGCTAGCCATACGAGTGAGATACGGGGGATTTGGTGTTCGGTAAAGGTAGCGCTATTTGTCGGGCAGAAGGAGGTGAGCGGTGCGGCGGTCTTCAACGGTCGCTGAGTTCCCCTTTTTATGTATAATGTGACCTGCCAAAATCTCCATTCCCTTGGAAGGAAACTGTTATGTCGAGAAATCGGAATTGATGAGAGACGTTCAACGGGCGGGAGGGCGTTCACCGGCGTCCTTAAGAGGCCCTTGGATTATGGCACAAACGTGATGTGCGGTCGAGTGGCTCTTTAAGCCATGATTATTGCGGAAGGTAGTCGTCGCATTTGGTCCATGTGACCATATTATGCCCTGGGTTGGCTGCGAATAGAGGCATGGAAGATGAGGGAAAGAACAGCCTCAACTCTGTCATGGCAGCTCGGGCGAACGGTGTCGAACGGTGTATTTCCTAGATCAGAAGCACATCGCTGATCACGTAACGGCTAATATGGTATGCGTATGCGTATTCTCGCTGGAGTAGAAGGCCTCGACGAAAGCCTTTGCCGCATTCTCCATCCCGGTAATCTCGAAGGTAGGGATCTTGAGTTTTTCTTCCTTGACCCATTGTTGCATGCGTTCCATATGAAGCTTGCCCCACTTCTTCCCAAAGCTGGGATCAGAGAGCGCGAATCCACGAATCGTAAGTCGTTTCAAAACAGTATTGTGCAAAAACATGCCGATGATGGGGTCCAGCACGGTCTGTTCGGCGATCGTGCCATAAAACATGATCCGGCCGTATCGTCTCATCGAGGCGAACGCTGCGTTTAGATGTCTGCTACCGAGAAGGTCGAAATGGGTATCAAGCCCACCGATATTCAGGCGGGACATCCAGCTCAAATTATCATAATATATATCGATGCCGTCGGGAACGAGACGAGGGAGAGCTTCGTAGGGACTCTCCTTGGCGTAATTAAATCCTCCATCGAAGCCGAGCTCCGTAATAAGAAAGTCGAGTTTTTCATCCGATTCGACGCTACCGAACACCTTCAACCCTTCAAGTCGAGCCATCTGGCCGACGAGTTGACCGATTTCGTCGCTCGCACCGGCGATGAGGATCGTTTCACCTTTTTTAGGTCGACCGATCTCGTACAAGGAGGAAAAGGCTAAGAGACCTGGGACACCCAGGACGCTGAGGAATAACCGAATATCATCGAACTCGCAGGGATTCTCGAGACGCTGTAACTTGGTCGCGTCGTCGGCTTTGATCTGCACGTATTGTTGCACCGGCAAGCGACCGATTACAATATCCCCTTCCTGGAAATTCTCATTATTGGATTTGATGACTTTCGCGATACTCATCGTTTCGACTGGTTTTCGGCCCCGCAATTCTGTCGCGTCAGCCGAGGAACTGGCCAGGTCCCGTTTGAAGAGGTCGTAGGTCGCATAGAGGAGCTGCACCATTAACTCGTCCTCGACAATCGGTTCGGTCGCGTCATAGGGCACGTCTTCGAGGGTGACTTGTTCCCCGGCGACCAGATATCCCGAGTCCATATTCTTGATGACAAGGACTTTGTTCTCCGTGTCCTGATCCATCGTGACCCGTGTCATCTCCGCGAAAAAAAAAACCGGGAGACGTAGAATTAGAATGAACTCGATAACAATACCAACTGCATGGCGACGCGCTGGAGATACCTAGAAAGTCGAACGCGCCACGTTTGAATGGCTTTTAAAGGATCAAATGGCGCGGAACATGGGGGAAATTTGACATATTTCGTGTATGAACACAAATAATTGGAGTCAGTTAGGAGTAGTGGGGTTGCTGACGACGGTCAATGAGGGGCAACCCTAACTATTTATCCCTATAGTGCGCCGTTGATCAATGGTCCGGTGGAGAAGGTGAGACACCCTTTTGTATGATCAGCAAATCCGAGTGAAGGGTACACCACAATCGTTTGAATCTTTTCCTTCGGCAGAAATCACATCGGCGATTTAGGAGAAAAGAGGAGAGTTGTCTCAGTTGTTGTCGATTGTTTCTACGTCTTTTGAACCATCTATTTTTGAGCCCATCAAAGAAGGGGGATGTATGTCCAGCCAAAGTTGTTCCTCCTACTTAGGGTTATCACGTACCACGGGGGCACAACAAGCGGAAATAAGGGGCAAAAGGGAAAAGCCGCGGCCCCCGTGACCAGATCCAAATCTCATCTTCCCCCCCAATCTGAGATTTTTATGCTTGTCATTGGGTCAAATGGGGCCTCACCGCTCACGCGCACAAGAAGTTAATGCCAGGTCAGGCCATCATCCACCGCCTTCTCCTTTCTTCGTTGATCGCATGTCCCCTTCCGGAACAACTTTTTCTATATATAGGATCTTCCTCTCCACAAACTAACTATTGACCCGTCTAATGACGCCAAGCTCCGAGAATAGACCACTTTATTGCTATACAAGTTGGCACGGCGGGAATACCCAGCCGATGTGACGGGAGGCTCCGTGACTATCTCAATCAGAATACGTGTTCTGAGGTGGAACCGTGTGACAGAGGATTCAACCGTTGCAGTAGCTCGCAGTTTTGATTTGTTCCCCAGGTTCCTCCTGATTTGTCCCTACTGACAGCATGCGTTAGTCCATACCCGTTTAGACCTAGAAGCGTCGTTAACCGACACTGTTTCCAGAACGGACGTCAATAATTTGACATTTATTTTTAGAGGTTTAATACCATGAGGGTGAACCCCGGAACACGCGTGGTGGAAAATCGCTAGTTTTGCATGCCACGTGGAAAATGGCCCGGGAGTAGTGGCAATGGTCAGACTACAGCCAAGGGAGGTGGAGTTTGATCGTTATATTGACATGGCAAATAATTGCACTATACGAAGTTGAAGCCTGATTGTCCCCATATGATGACGTCCTTTAAAACAAAACCCAATTTACCTGAGGAGATACCT